TACCACTTGCTAGTCTGCCTAAGAAATGGACAGTATTCGGCCATCTGATTATTTGCGCCCATAAAAAGCTAACTGTGGTTGCAGTTTTAATCCACTTCCGGTTTTGGTAAGTTGGAGGAAGGAGTTTCGTCGTAATCTCGTGTTGTGTCGCGTCGATATCGTGCTCTTGATGGACGCGATACTAATTGTCCTTCTTATCCTTCCATTCCAACACCGCTATACCGCTCCGATCCTGTTGCACTACCCGAAGTTTACTATTCAGTTTACTATTTTATGAAAGTTTTAGCTTTAGGCAAACTTAAAATGAAGATCATTTCTAGAAATTTTTAGTTCTATTTATAGTGATAGAGCAAGGTGTCTTTCACAAGTTGTCAAGTTATAAACTTCGCGTGTCCTCTAGTTACCGAAGATGATTTGGAGTATTTACGAAACAGGTAAAGGCGCGCTTGGGGCGTGGTCGGAGGCGCCGTGCAACACGCAAGTGGAATCGACCCAGCGCCCATGGCCCACAAAACCTTCTATCCATCCGGGGTCGGCAAGTTAGTACCAGACCTGTCTGGGAGGATAGCAGCACTGACTCGATACATCGGTAGGCCACCGCGAGTCATTGTAAAGGGCAGATATGCACTCAATCACCTCCAAACGATGCTTAATAAAGTCGAATGCATGGCGCATCCCTCAGGAATTGATCAACGCCGAAAGCTTTATTCTTTTTTTTTATTACGAAATAAGTGTCAACCCTATTTAGGGCGGAGAAATTTGAATTTTTGACCAGTAATTCTCCGTTCTTTCATTCTCGGCTGTCATGATGAGTCATGATTATCGTTTGTTGTGGTTGGGTAGAAGAAATACGGAGATATTTTCAGCGTAGGTAGCAAAATCCTTCCAAAATCTGACAGGAATTTGTTCAGTAGACGAAATATGGTAGCATTTAGTAGGAACGCTATACCTCTAAATGCGCAAGCCTAGACCTCTTTTATGAATATGTGATGTTCTACTCAATAAGTCCTCTAGCTGTGGAAAATCTATAATTCCTTTTTCGATAAACCAGCAATCTCGATTTAAAAATCGCCGACGAGTTCTCGGTTTTTCGGTTTCGAAGAAATCAACAGTGCTCGTCAATGCGTTAAATCACTGCCTTTAACCTTCCGGAAATGGTTCATTTCATTCTTGGAAAACCGATAAGGATCACTTTTAGAGTAATCGAAGCCAATTGAGCTGGCAAAACATGCTGTAACGATGATTCTTGGACAACAGGAAGCAGAAAAAACCCTTTGATTGGCGAGTTGAGGACACAACATGGAAAAAGGAAAATATCGTTCCTTTTTAAAGCGGCACTTCAATTACCAAATAAACTGCTTGAAACCTGGTCGTTGCCATTCAGAGAACGACCATTTTCCAGTTTCTTACTTCGAGTTTTTCCAACAGTAGAGAACTGGTTCGAACTGGTAGCACTGCGAAAATTGAGGTGGATTGCCTCAAACGCTGCGAGACACTTAACAAGTGATGAATGGTGGCATTCGTAATTCTGTTTGGCAGGAAGTTCGATACTTTTTAGCGCCGTACCGAAATGATCGAGTTGGTCTTAGTGAAATAGATTTTTGGAATTTCGCAGATTATGAGTAGAATGAAGGAAATGACTACTCACAACCGCGAGGAAGCATGTGAGCCACGGAAGAATTTCCATGTAAATGATAAATTACTAGCTGGGCAAGATCGATTTTTTACCCCAGGATCTCGAAGGATATCCTAAGGCTTTACTAAGTCGTGGCTAACTGCCACTAATTGGTTATATTTCTCTAAGGACTGAAGTGATTTCTGCCACTAGTTTGCTCCTAGTTAGATTTTAAGATGGAAATAACTCGAAAGACCGACTTTCTATGAACCTCGGCATAGATAGTTGATACATTTATTTATGTGGTCTTATAAACTGATCTTCTTAAGCTGACGCGAGGTTGGTACAGATCTTCGTTGTCGTTGTCCTTGTCGTTGGTTTTGATGTTATTGAACGATGGCTGACGTTTCGGCGACTTCGCCTTCCTCAGAGCCTGGACGTACTTTATGTTAGAATACTTTTTATTATTCGGTGGAAAAGAAGGTTAAAGTATTAATGAAGATCAAGCTTTCAAATAGGCGTCATATTGAACAGAAAAGCCACTCACCGTGATGTTACGTGCGGGACTGGCCCACATGTAGCTCACGCGAGCAAGACACGCCCCGGGGTCAAAATATCATTTTGAAATAGGGCGCCAGGTCACGCGTGATAGTGAGGCATTCGCCCTTCCGGCTCATTTTTGGATTTTTGAAATTTATCCAAAACGCCTCAAGAGGTTTGCGCGTTGATGTTTTTGATTCCTCGCTAGGATCCGCACATTCACTTCAAAATCATCGCCGTTGTGCTTTTCTGCCCTATGCGTACCTAGAGGGGTGTTTAAACGGATTTTAGCTTTCCCATCTAGATGTTCTTTTATGCGGACACAAAGTGGTCTACCCGTTTCCCCGATATATTCCTCGCCGCATGCATTACATGAGATCAAGTATATTATACCTAAACTCATGCAATCCGCGTCTCTCCCGTTAGGTCAGATCACACAGTTTTCTGAGCTGCACAAACGATCATAGAGACGGTTTCGAACTAACTGGCGGCGTAGGGTATTCGGTGGGATGTCAACAATCGTTACATAATTTTCAAGACCACTTTTTCTTAAGCACTTTTTAATGGCGTGACTTACTTCATTTGATATGAGGGGTAGCTTAAAGGGGATCTTACTTACGTCCGAAATATTATTTTGGGAAACTACCCAATGTTTTCCTCTAACCCGAGTGGCTTCTACTTTGTAGCCATTGGAAATGGCNTGCCCTATGCGTACCTAGAGGGGTGTTTAAACGGATTTTAGCTTTCCCATCTAGATGTTCTTTTATGCGGACACAAAGTGGTCTACCCGTTTCCCCGATATATTCCTCGCCGCATGCATTACATGAGATCAAGTATATTATACCTAAACTCATGCAATCCGCGTCTCTCCCGTTAGGTCAGATCACACAGTTTTCTGAGCTGCACAAACGATCATAGAGACGGTTTCGAACTAACTGGCGGCGTAGGGTATTCGGTGGGATGTCAACAATCGTTACATAATTTTCAAGACCACTTTTTCTTAAGCACTTTTTAATGGCGTGACTTACTTCATTTGATATGAGGGGTAGCTTAAAGGGGATCTTACTTACGTCCGAAATATTATTTTGGGAAACTACCCAATGTTTTCCTCTAACCCGAGTGGCTTCTACTTTGTAGCCATTGGAAATGGCAATTTTTCGTGCCAGGTTTCGCGATTCCTTCCTTTCCTCTTCTCCTGTACACACATTTTTAGATACATATTATGATACATGTTTTTGATAAGTGATTTTTTCATGTGTGAAGAGGAGTGAGAGGAGAGGCAGTGAACGAGAATGTTTTTACTACTTGGCTTGCGATACCATTTTGTTACATAGCCACTTACTGAGAGCTTTATTTAGATGTTTAAGAATGGAAGCCAGTTCTCGGAAGGTTTTTCTCGTGTAAATTTTATATACTCTGACTGTCGGTTTAATAATTCAAAGCACTCATCCATCTGTTCTTGTGTGGAACAGACGATGAAGCAGTCGTCTATGTATCGACAGTAGAGTAAGGGTCGGTGATCGAGAACTGGAGCTTCCACCTTAGACATGAAAGCGATGGCAAGGCTTGGTGCTAAACGCTGCCCCATCGCCAACCCTCTAATTTGTGCAAAATATTTTCCAGACCACCTAAAGATTGAACAACTAAGACACTGTTTTAAGAGGGTCATTAGTTGCGCAATCGACAGGCCGTGCATTTTTATTTTCTTTTCATGCTCTACGAGCAACTCGAGAATGGCTTGCATTGCGAGTCATTGGACACGTTGGTATAAAGTGAACTAACATCGAATGACTCCATTATATGCGTGCTGTTTGGTTAGGCTAGAAAGATTAGGTAAAGTAGTACCAAGGGGAGAACTACCACCAATACCCTTTCCCCGAACATTCTTTAAACAAGAGCTACCAAATAGCGATATTGACCCTACATTTCGGTTATTTTCGGACGAAATTCTCCGCATACTTAATCACTACCAAAAACAAAGAAGAAGCTCCAACCTCACAAACCAACAAAAATGTGGTATGCGCCAGGTTAGAGAGCTTTTGAATTCAAAATCTATTAGACTTTCTATTAGTGATAAAGGCGGAGAATTTGTAGTTCTTCGTAGTCAGTTGGATATTAGGATTACAGAGGAGCACCTCAAGGATTGCATTAGTTTAGGTATAATATACTTGATCTCATGTAATGCATGCGGCGAGGAATATATCGAGGAAATGGGTAGACCACTTTGTGTCCGCATAAAAGAACATCTAGATGGAATAGCTAAAATCCGTCTAAACACCCCTCTAGGTACGCATAGGGCAGAAAAGCACAACGGCGATGATTTTGAAGTGAATGTGCGGATCCTAGCGAGGAATCAAAAACATCAACGCGCAAAACTCTTGAGGCGTTTTGGATAAATTTCAAAAATCCAAAGATGAGCCGGAAGGACGAATGCCTCACTATCACGCGTGACCTGGCGCCCTATTTCAAAATGATATTTTGACCCCGGGGCGTGTCTTGCCCGCGTGAGCTACGTGTGGGCCAGTCCCGCACGTAACATCACGGTGAGTGGCCTTTCTGTTCAATATGGCGTCTATTTGAAAGTTTGATCTTCATTAATACTTTAACCTTCTTTTCCACCGAATAATAAAAAGTATTCTAACATAAAGTACGCCCAGGCTCTGAGGAAGGCGAAGTCGCCGAAACGTCAGGCATCGATCAATAACATCAAAAACGACAATGACAGCGAAGATCTGTACCAACCTCGCGTCAGCTTAAGAAGATCAGTTTATAAGATCACATAAATAAATAAGATGGAAATGTTGTGCGCTTTCGTAGTTGAGAGACCCACCTGCGGATATGAAACTACTGCTTTGAATCGCATTCCGACACCCAGGAATAGTTCCAGCCACTCGGAAGCGTTAAACTACGGGCTAGGAGAACGTGTAGACTGGAGAAGGAAACAATTCCTGTGACGGGAGTATAGGTTAAAAGTGCAAAAATATTGGTTTAATTACACTTTCCTGCCTTAAAACCAAGTTGTTTGTTATAATGTTCTTTTTCAGGAAACCGAGAGACGCTGTTCATTCGCAGCATCGTCCGATTTTATTATTGGTGGGCTCTTCATGTAGCAGATCACGCTATTTTAATCATTGCTATCTGCACGACTCTGAGTTTGCTGGGCACCGCCAAGATCGCTAACACTCCGTATGTTCTCGTAATAGTAATGAATTGAACGATTTTAGCATTAGTCATAGCAATAAGGGTAGAAATGCTGTATAACACACAGACAGTTGCTGGTTCGAACGCACCTCTACCAAACAAGCCTCTAATTCCTCTGGAGGCAGTAAACTGATAGCAGACTTGTTTGATAAAGCTTCCTCTGATCCATAGAGCCTGCATTTGCTTCTGGTGAAGACCTGAACGCTATGGTAGAGCTACTTCAGGATTTTAGAGGGAATCAACTCGACTAACCATGAGGTACATTAAGAAGGAAGTTGAACATATCAAGTGGCCACCGAACCAATACGAAAATCCGAGGATCACCGTTGATGATGGATGAGAGAGAACGAATGAATGAAAGAAAGACATGCTGTATTGACAGAGTGAAATGGTATGAAGTGCTGAGATATTTGCAAAACTCCGGGCCACAGGTGTATGCAGTGGGGAACGAACACGCGCTGCTGTCCTTACCGGGGAGCAGCGCACTTCACCACTACACCATCCGGGTCCTTCGCATTGCATATATCTCAGCTAGTTCTATCGATCTTTTTGCCATCAGCAATCACCCGTCAACGGGATTGATCTGGGGAGCCAGGCTAGCTGAGATACATGCAAGGCGAAGGACCCGGATGGTGTAGTGCTGAAGTGCGCTGCTCCCCGGTAAGGACAACAGCGCGTGTTAGTTCCCCACTGCATACACCTGTGGTCCGGAGTTTTGCAAATATCTCAGCACTTCATACGAGTTATATTCCACAACATACCCTGCCATTAAGAAGAAAAAGGCAGTAAATAAAAGAATTAAGAGAGTGAAATGGATTCATAGAAATAACTGGGAATCGTAAATAATAGTAGAAACAAGTGTTAATTATAATTAATATAACACTAATTAACTTTCGAAATTTTCTTCTACGACCCGTCTTCATGTATGTTGTAGAGATCCCACCATTTTTCCCATTCGATTCGTTTTTTTCCCATTCGATAAAGCTCTCGGCGTTGATCAATTCCTAAGGGATGCGCCATGCATTCGACTTCATTAAGCATCGCTCAGAGGTGATTGAATGGATATCTGGCTATTACTATGATTTGCGGTAGCTTACCGACGTATCGAGCCAGTGCTGCTACTTTCCCAGACAAGTCTTATACCAATTTCCGAACCACGGAGGGATGGAAGGCTTGGTGGGCCATGGACGCGGAGTTCGATTCCACGTGTATGTCGCAGTGGCGCCTCCGACCAATGGCCACACGAGCCTTTGTAGACAATGATACTGTTGTGCAATAGCGAGGTTCTCGTCATGTTTTTTGGAAGAGAATTTGTTAAAACCAAGGATTTCCTTGGATCGGTAATATTTGACTGACCCACGCAAAACTTATAGTTACTTTTTGATGAGTTACGATGGTTCCTTCAGATGTCATAGTCTATTCTTGCTTTGATCGGATGTAGTAAGATGTTTCATAGCGAGGATAACAGCGGATGCCAGGAGAGAAAAAGTTCAGGATGAAATGACCATTGTATTGGAGTCACAGGGGTCCAAATTGACTTTACTGTCGAAGAGACCGGGCGTTGGCGGTGCCTCAAATGCTATTCCAATCAACTGCTATTTGATTTCTCCTGCACGAACCAGTTTCTATCGTTCTCCTGGAAATGATGTATGGGACGTTATTATACCGCACTTTAAAAAAATCAACGACTTCACATTGGCATATTCCTCAATTAATGAAAACAGGTTCCATTTCACTACAGTACTCACACCAATTCACTTCTGCGTACAATGTTAGAGGAAGTGCGTCAGAGAATATAGGTGACCTTTGGTGATCTTCGTCGTTATGGTGAACTTAGAAGGTTTTCATTACATTCATCCTCTTTCAGTCCGTGCTCTAAATGTTCTCCGGACATGGTCAGCGTTTCAACAGCGGAGCCTGCATGAGAAAATACGATGTACTTCGTCGAACTTCCCGAACTCAAGTGCATCGATCTCACCGGTGTCTCATCTCGATGTTGGGAGGTCCTCTCAGCTGTCACATGTTCTTACTACTCGCCCTTTAAAGCCGTGAACAGAATGTAACTGGTCCGTTTGGTCTAGCCAACGAATTCAGAAATTTTTGATTACCTAGGTCAAGTAGTCAAAGATGAGTTTATGCTCTTTCAACATTTCATTGACATGAATGGCTCTGGTCGTAATGATGAAATCAGGATGCATTTCACTCTCTTCACTACATTCTACACTGCGAGTCTTGATGTGAAGTTTCTCAGAGGTTCTTCTAAGGCCAGTTATTGATTTGACGATGCTGTAATAAAACATGGCTGATGGAGCATGTTGAAGTAGGTATAGCAGTTCCAAATTTAACTCAGAGTTACTTGGATACCTGGACGGCCAGTCCTCATTGGTAGTACAGGCCCCAGCATAATCTCCATTTGAAATAATGCTACTGCTTTCGTATGATGGCAGAACGATAAGGCGTCATGTTATGCAAAACGGTAGACAAAGATATCGAGAAGCGAGGCAGATAAGATTTGAAACAACGACTTGAGGCGGGTGCAGTTTTATTTATTCATATTAAGTGTGAAAATAGAATGCTTTTGTTGAGAGTGCAGAGAGAGAAATATTTTCAGGAACGAAAATGACATTACGGGATACACTCCCTATGGAGCGCGGGCACGTGGAGAACTTGATGTCAGTTTCTTTACTGCTCACATGTTACAATAATATATTATTAGCACATTCGTGCCGATGTGAGTTGACCTCAACTCTTACGTGGTAGGGCAGAATGGACGGTATGAGTTCATTTCCACTTAGTTTCTTTTTAGTGGTTCATTTTGTTACATAGAACTTTTTTGCACCACCTCTAGTATTCAATCGAGGACTTACCTACAAATGTTATACCAGGCTTCAACCAATAAAAAGAAACCAGGAAAAACAAAAACCTTGAAACACATTTTGAAATGGCGCGCTGTGGAATGGCGGGTTAATTAAGAAATAACCAGAAAAGCTCTCGGCATCTCCAGAGTAGTGATTTACTGTTTTTGAATCGTTTTTTGTAATAGCACTGGTGTTTAGGTCGCAACTGAGTTCTTGTCCCGCGGTGGTAACGGCATTACTGTTTTAGTGCTTATTCTTCCGAGGGATGGGGGAAATGCTCTCCGGCTGGATGTGTTGAAGGAGGCACTCAAGGTTCTCACCTTTTCCACACTCTTCTTTTTGCTTTCCTTTAGACTTTTTTTGAACTTTAACGAAATAACTTTTTTTAAACGTTTTAGCCCTGCTCTTTAAACTCTGTTTTTTGCGTTCACCTCTATTTTCATGTGTCGGCTATTAAAATCAAATTTCCTGTTGCTTATCGCTTTGACACTTCATTTTTTACTAGTAATTCCTATGTAGGGCGCAATATTATGGCTTATTTCGTTAGTGAAAACCGGCAGAAACGGTGTTTCCTTTGCGATAGAAACATTTTTCAGGTTCTATTTTTGCGTTTCAGCAATCACTTATCTTTGAAAGCATCCGCTAGATTTTCTATCTAGGCTTCAAATCGCTTTAAATTCAGAATCTTTAAGTTTTGTAGAGCAACTTGGCATACACGTTTATATCTTGTTATCGAAAGTTGGTTATTTGAGGTGGAGCACATCCTGTCGACCAATTTCACCATGCTGAATCCGCGGACGAACAAAAGCGAATCGTATCGCGAGTTCTGCTTCAGCTTCTGCCAAATAAATCAGCCGTTCGTGCAGTTTGCGGTTAGCTCCTGCTTGACTTTATTTATTTATTCAGTCGAACCTCGATGCCGAACACTTTTTCCAGTTCTGAGATCTTCTTGGCCTTTGTGTCATAATAATCACATTAAGCGAGGGCTATGTTGTGAATGCGTTTAGAATTAGGTAATTACTTGCATGGTCTCCTCCTGTGCAACCTAGGAGCATTGTCTTCGACTCAGCGCATTCGTTTCTGTCGTAGCAGTTACGTCTGGGAATTTTCCGGCTGCATTTTAAAGAATGTCTTTAAGCGCTGTACATTGGAAAGACTATGATACTCCTCGATGATAGACATAATGATAGATACGTTTTTCAACAAATCAAGAAAGAACGTAGTTGATTCATTGGAGGTACCCTGCGAATCAAATGGTCTTTGGTTATCCTGCGCTCTGGGCGAACTAAGTCATTCACACCTCCAGGTTGGACAAATTGGTTCCAGAGACAGAATGAAACCAATAATTTAGTATGTATTTAAATTGTTGAGCTTCACGAGTTTAATAAAATTATTTTATTCGGCTGATGTTTTGACGTCTTCGTCTTCATCAGAGCCAATGATCGAAGTCGATGGTCCACAGTTTTTCGTCTTCTACGTCGAAGGCGCCACATCGAGAAGGCGAATAGCTGTGGACCATCGACTCGAATCAATCCGGTTCTGAAGAAGACAAAGATGTTAAAGCGTCAGCTGAATAAATCTTTTTGTCAACCTCATGCAAGCTCAACAATTTAAGTACGTATTGATTATTTTGCTACCGAGGTTAAATGAAGGTCGGTGTGAAAATTGTTTTACTAGTTTGATACATTGATAGAGCTCTGTAAATATTGCGTAGACCACACGTGCATCCAATCACCTCTGACGATGCTTGATGAAGTCGAATTCATGGAGAATCTCCTGGATTTACTAACGTCAAGATCCTTGCACTTTACGTGCAATACTGAGTCCTGCCTGGTATTAAATACACTGAGTGATTTTGAAAGGGTTTCCATCGTATGCTTAATAACTAATGTGTAGAACTTTTAACCTATATTTCGATATGTAAACCGCTCGGGATACTTTGTTGATAGTTTGATGGAAATTTCATCAATTTCGCAACTTCGAAAATAATATAACTTCAATGATGGTGAGATATTTGCAAAACTCCGGACCACAGGTGTATGTGGTGGGGAACGAACGCGCTATTGTCCTTTCCGGGGAGTAGCGCGTTCACCACCACACCACGCGTGTCCTTCGTTTCGCCTGTCTCTCAGCTAGTTCAAATATCTCAGCATCATTGAAGTTATATTTAACAATGTATACCCTGCCGTTAAAAAGAGTAGGCAGTAAATAACAAGTTAAAATTTAGAAAATAATAATTATTTGGTGAAGCGTCGCCTTCTTGGCAAAGCTTCTTTCCTGCTGTAATAATGGTCGGACGGCTAAAAATGTGTAACATTTTGTATGCTACTGTCTTACTACTTAGTCTCTGTAACAGTCTATCGGGGGTCACGAGCAATGCAGTGGCGAGGTATGCCACGGAATACACACTGCAGCGTTGGTTTCGCTGCGCCTGGGCCACTGAAACTCTTTTTCTCTGCGGGGTCGTCAAACGTGGACCGGACTTGTATTGTTTGTTTATTTAATTTATTTATTTATGTGACCTGAATTGGCATATTTTGCTGATCCTAGCTGCTTTTTTATTCGGTTCTTTCTTTGCATCCGTCATTCACGAAGGTCTTCAGGTTTGTGCGTTGGTTCACCTGCCACTGTGGACCTCATCTTGCTTGTGATATCAAGGGTGTTATTGAAACCTGGTCAAGTTCATCCTTGCTTTTAGCTCTACCAAAGCATTATCAGCTTCTCGTCAGCATGCAGTCGCTGGTGTTCGTTGATCTTTTGTAGATTTTCTTCAAATTCGGAAAACACAAGTGTAAAATTGACAAGCCAGGGGGGGGGGGGGAATAAGCTGCAGAAATCCACGAAAATTAATTCCCTATTCATTTTATAGATACCGGTCTACATTCTTCTGGCTAGTTCCAGTTGCTTCTCTACTGTGGGCGAAACATAATACATAATCACGTGATTAGTGTTTCTACCATACTGCCACCGTTCTCGACAACTTGACCCCCGAAGGTTGAGGAACCCCGCTGTGCAGCACAATTCCGCAGCCAAACACAATGTAACTGCTTTCCGAAAAACCTTTTGTGGTGGTAAATGCGCAGAATTTTTTGATTGTACGAAAACCTAAATGGGTTCATGTGACAAACTAATCTCATCAAATTGAATCGTATTCATTTACGCCTTCTATACGTGAGGGTAGAGTAGAAAATCATGAGCTCATGCAATTATAACGCTGTTCCTTCATCTATTGCTTGTTAAGCGAGTCCTGGTGAAGAATTCAAGTCGGAACGAGGCACCACTTCGCTGCATTTCAACGTTTATCCTTTTATAGCCTTTTATCGCCCTCGGATGTCGCTAAATAACACGAATTTATTCGTTTCAGTACATAAGGAGTTTGGCTATTCGAACGCAACAAACTTCTGAAAGAAATTTTTAGAGTATATTTGAGTGCTAAGAATTTTTTCTTCCAAGAAGTTTCTAGCGTAAACAAACAATAATAGGAGAGAGATCTGCCGAATTGACCGTGCATAAAGGTCTTCGTTGGCTAAGCTGTTCAATTTCTAAGTCATGGTTGTCGGTAATATGGTCACATGTTGCCAAACACAAAGACTTCTGTCCGTAAATATCACAGCAAGAATCTCTATTGTTATGGCTGCAGATAGGAGTGTATGACGGTTAGAGGTATTTGTAATGCACACATAGTTGCTCCTTCCACCTTACTGCTAGGAAAGCCAAGCCGTCCTACTTTACGAGCGGATAAGTTGATACCAGACTTGTCTGGAAGGATAGAAACGCTAACTTCATGCATCGATAGACAACGCAAACCATCTCATTGGCCAGAAATGCATTCGACCACCTCTTTCGGAGTCGAATTCAGGACACATGATTTTGAGATTGATTAGTGTCCAACGCTTTCATACTTCGTCCTTTATGGCTATCAAACAATTGGAGATACTTCGCTCGAGCGGTCTCCACTGCACCTGGTGTGAATATGAATAGGCAGATCGCGAAAACAAACAGCTTTGGACAATCATTTTGAATCATTCTTGCTCTGAAAAAGGCTAAGATGAAGAAAGCTTGTCCACAATGAAGAACTCTTGGAAGGAGCCTTGTATTAGGATATCGGTAAACAGTAAAACAAGGCACCGATTAGCCATTCGTGCCAAGTTTAGTAGAAAATCCGTTTTAAAAATACGTTTTTCATTCCCTTTACCAAAATAGGAAAACTGTTTAGAAAAGAGGTAAGCAAGAGCAGGAAATCACGGCGATTTTTATTTATTATTATTATTTATTATTATTATTATTATTAACTATTATATCACTCGACATCACATATACCACAATGTGCAGTTTCCAGTACTTACTGTATTCGATTCATTTTGTCTAGTTAACCGTTCGGCTGCTACTTGAAGGCTGTTCGTCTTTGTCACAAATGTCATTGAATGATGGTCGAGTGGTTTGTCACCATGATCCTGAGATTATCGTGCTTGGATCTTTCGACGTGGGGAAGAGAAAATGAGTTTGCCCATGTCTGGCATCCTATTCCCGACTCCGGAAGGATGAGAAGCTAGGTGGAACTGTAGACGTGCGGTCATCCGTGTAATGAACGTTAGTGCCCCATTACTATACTGTGTTGGTGTATAAGCTCTCCTTAAAAAGCGACTGTAGGAAGAGAAGCTCCTATAAACCCTCAAAATCGATAGATAGAAAAAAATTCTTGTAGTAAATGATTTAATTTTGCAGAACGGATTCATTATGGAGCAGAAACTTTCGAAAGAGGGCAGCTCGTCACCTGAAAAAATCCAGCTGTCCTATCCCGTAAGTACATTCTACAACCAGCGGGTTAATATCCAGGTGAGCCATTTTATATACTGTTTGTCGGACACTGTTTTAGTTTGTATTCTAGTAACGGTGTTTTCTGGATATCTTAAACTTAAATAACTAGAACAACTCTTTACAAAGATTAAACAATGAGTAAACGATAATTTTCGGGAACTGCAATGATGGTAAACCTGTTCATTTGCACAAGTTGATAAACTTTTGACTCATATTGTCGATCAATAAGCACTGATAACCCTAATTTAGTCCAACTTTCATCTTATTCAATAGGAAAAGATGAAAAGAATACACGTCTTTGTATTCTGGTAAACAGGTGGTTGCTACGACCACCTGCGGAATTCTACAACAGGCTGTGCAAGCACATCTTAAGATTGGGAGAACGGACTAGGATTGGACAAAAGACGCAGCAGGAAGACGAAGTTGAAAAAAATATGATGACCAGATTTTTCGATCCGTATTGGTTACCTCACATCCATCATCCACGTGCGACGACGTAGACAGCACATCGAGAGGACCAACGACTGTGGACCAATGACTCATATCATCGACTCTGATGAAGACGAAGGCGTCGAAGCGTTAGCCGATTAAATCTTCTTATCAACGTTGTGCTGTCCATAAATTGTTTCCCATTTCCTCGTTATTTCATTAAAAGCGCATTTTCTACGGAACGATTTGCATTTCTAACCAGCTGCACAGTCCGTTAGGCTCTTTCGACATCGTCACTGATGCAATGGTACTTTCCATAGAAACGAAGAAGTTTTTTTCAGAAGTTGATAGTTTGAAAGTGGTGTTTCATTCATCCGCGTATTCTCTTTTCCCAATCTAAAAGCTTGAATGCAATACGTTTGCGAAAGCATCGGTAAGATGGTATCCTCGTGTTGGACCACCTTACATTGCGATTTGCAAGCTGGATCATAATAGTGCCACTGCAACAGGAATTGACCAGAATTCGTATTCAGGAGCAACTCACTTCTTTGTTGACGAGCGGTGATGGGAATTGCGTTCTTTCTGACGCGGTCGAACTCTTTTTCTGATTGATGCGTTCTAAAAGAAAAAGCAAGTGATAGTTCCATCAGCATTCTCTCATCATAACTCGAATTAGAATGCGATCTTTATAGAGCAACTTCTGTAAGCAAATAACCCTTCCTTGGTGGATTGGTTCAAGTTTATCTTGGGTTTTCATGTATACACCAGGATAACTTTCATGAATTGTTTCTAAAGCGAGTGTTTTTTCTTGAGCAGATGCGGGACTGTAACTAGCAAGATCTATTCAAAACTGGTTGATGTTTCTGCGGATTCATGTTCTTCAGGCAAGGTAAAATTGACACGCAGTCTATTTGGCTGAACACTTCAATAACCAAAGGAGTAACTGTTCAATAGATAAATTTCATCTGTATAGTAGAGATCTTCTTTAAAACTCTCATATTCCTTACAAGTTCTGCAGTTGTTTTTGGAGACTAGCAGCACGGAGTCTTACATGGGTAAAGAATGTGACTCCCACAGGTGACAAAAACAGTGCAAGGTATGGCGAAGGTCATGCGTTTCTAAGTATAGTCAACAAGAGCTTGTGCGGTTATCACGAAGGTCCTTTGAGTTATTCTTTTTGGGTTGGATAACGGTGTGCAGGATTCTTCGCTTGTCTATGACCGCTTGCCGAATTTCTACAACAATCTATTCAACGGTTATGTCTATTGTAAAATAGCATCTCCACTTTATATGACAGCAGTAAACTCTTTCCAATTTTCCTTTTAATATTGTTAAGTCACATGTGCTTCCAATGTACCTGTGAAAGGCTTGATTTGTAGAGATTTTGTCGTTCCCTATTTCCTAGCTGATTTCAGCCGTACTTCTTCGGTGTTGAATTAAGAGCCAATAACGAAGCGAATGAGAATGTGCAGAACTCCACGGCTTCCATCGCTAGCGATCAAAGCTCAAAAATGCTTTCTGCAAAGGTAGCGTTTCTTCAAAAATAAAGCCGACTTCGTCTTTTACCAAGTCAATCCTTTAAGTCTCATGAAAGCTGAAATTGTCATTTCTGTAGATATCTTGTTCCTTCTCAAACAAGCATTGGTTTGTTGTTTTTCAAAAACAAAGATAAATACGAGGTTCGCGGATTTCTCGTCCGGTGTGCTTGAACGTCGTTGCAGATGCTCGCTCTCCAGTTGCGTGGTGAGAGAAAAGAAGGTTGGACTACTCAGTGTATTAAAGATTTTGAGCTGAGTATCACACGTTACTTTGAAAGGTTAGCTCATTTTGCATAAAAAAATTTGAAGATTATATGGGCGTTTTTTGTTGTACATGCTTATTGGGAAGAACGTATCGTGTAGTATGATGGAAACAAGCCAACTGATCCATCATCGTTTTGTGTGTTGAGTAGTCAACTAATCGGCTGCTACTCCTTGAATAGGAAAGCTTGAAAAAATCGATCCAGTGCCAGTTCTTTTCAAGTAGTTGTTTTTGCATTCGCCTAAAATGGTGCTGCTCACTCCACAGCAGTTATATTTCGAAGAATTCTTTTCAGGGAATTCAACTCACCTACAATCCGAGTTCTCACACTCTCCACATCATATGTAGAAGCTGAGGTGTGGTTTTTTTCTATGCCAATGCAGTTTACTTTGTTCTAAAGGGGTTCTACTGTTTTTTCCAAACAATGATACGACGTTGGCACCGTGGAATTACACGATTCGAAAACGATGCCGGTCTCTGACTTTAACCCAACGTATCTCAGTTTACAGTGAATTTCATTACTCTCGATAAAAGCTGTTAAAACCTGCATCGTCGTTGCCTAAAAGGCGAAAATTCCCTTGTTTTAGCCCGATAAGATTTTGGCTTTCTGGAGCCTCTGACATATATTTCTAGCACTTTATTGCTTCGAAGCACGGATTTCAAACAGCGAAGCAAATGAACAAGTGGAATTTCATCTGGCAGGACAAGACAGTGTTTTACACCGTATAGTTTATGTTCGTAGCTGCACCGGAGATTTCAGAAACTTAGGTTTCGGTATAAATTATTTGAAAGTTCCGATAATAAAAATACTTAGCTTTAAAAGGGCCTCTATCACCTGTAGTATCACCTGTAGTTCCATTGATCATCGAGTGACTTGAGCGGGTTCCAATAAGTCTTCCATTTTTCCCTGTCGCGTGCAAGAATAGCCCAGTGGGTTCTGCTCGCTCTAGGGACTCGTCGAGCATCATATCTTTCTTCAAGGTTTTTTGTGAGGAACTCTGACCATCGGGTCGGTAGCATTCCTGCAGTGCGTTTGACATCCCGAGGAATCCAGTCACTAACGGCTTTTGTCCACCGGTTGTCATTCATACTCATTACGTGTCCGGCCCACCTTATCTTCGACTGTTTGGCGTGCAGAACGGCATCTCTGATTTTTGATCGTTGACGCAGATCGAGGCTTCGGATCCCATCCCTTACTTGTGTGAAACGGGATACTCCTAGAATCGTCCTTTCGACTTCGCGTTCGATAACGCTGAGTGACCTTTCATTCTGCTTACGCAGCGAGCTGGTTTCTGAGGCATACGTTAGGGCAGGAAGTACCGCTGAGTCGGAAAGTGGGTATGGAGTCGGGTGTTCTTTGTTGTCTTCACTAGATTCTCGACGCTCTTGAAAGCTCCTCAAGCCGATAGTTTCCTTCTGCTCAGCTCTGGAACTAAGTCGTTTATCATATTGTTTTCCAGATCTGGATAGACGTAACTGGAGCATTCGAAGATATTCGTTGAATGGGAAGGGGCATACGTAACCAATCCGTTCCTCATAAACATCGTTTGTGTGAAATTTAGTCGAAGACCAATCTTTCCACAGGCTCTATCAAAGTCGGCAAGCATTCGTTCCGCTTGGCTAATGTTTGGTGTTATAAGGACGATGTCATCAGCAAAGCGAATATACTATAATTGGCGACCATCGATTTTCACTCCCATATTGTTCCATTTCAATGTTCGCATAACGTTCTGGAGGGTAGTGGTAAATAATTTTGGCGAGATGGTATCGCCTTACTTAACTCATCTTTTGACGTCAATGTTAATATCGTTATAGAATGGTGATATATTGGTTGTGAAATTTTTGCACAGCTCACGAAGAATCTTTATGTACTGAGTAAGGACTCCTTGATAATCGAGGGCTTTCTTGGCGAAGCTTCGGTGGGCTTTTCGAATGCTTTCCCCAGCCTCTGCAATTCTGACATTAACTGCTGCTCTTCTCTCTTTAAGATCTTCTTTTATCGCCTGTCTGCATTGTTTTACAAGTTCGGACGTTAATTCGCGGTTGTCTGCAGCTCGTGCGATTCCACGCTGGCATATTAGCTCGAGTGTTTCTGGAGACAGACGTCTCTTGGTAACTTTCGAACTCTCAGCTTTAATAGCGCTAACGTGAGAATGTTGAATGAGCCTTTGTACTCTTCGTAGATGTTATCGACAACAACATGTTACCAACAGCCAACAATGATGAATGAAGTTCCACTTTACCGTGGTTCTGGGAGTTCAGTTTTTAAATTTAGCGGCTTTTTCACCTTTCCGCGAGAAATAGAATTTTGTACGAAGAAGACGGTCGTTTGATCCTGTGTAGGATTTTGGGGCAACAGCGACATCGGTTAGGCAAAACCTTCGGTTTACAATGATATAGTCTATTTCGTTAAGGTACACTGTGAGATTCCCACGTCCAGCGTTGCGAATGGGTCCTCGTGGAATTGCGAGTTACCATGGACGGTTTTGGTCGTCATGAGAAACTCAGATAGCCGCTCACTCTGTTCGTTCCATTCTAATCCATGGGTCCCAATGTGACGTTCTTCAGACGTTCTTCTTATTCCAATATTAGCGTTAAAATCCAATGATCACCTTGAAGAATGTATGGTCTTCTCTGTAGAACTTCTCCAAGTCCATATACAACGCTTCGACTTCTTATTCGTCATAGTTTGATGTCGGCGCGTAAACAACGAGGATTGTCAAAGCCGGTATTGATCCACATCTTTTTAATCGTAAACGTCCGATTGAGGTTGTAAGCTGCTCGAATGAATCGATGTTCATGACAAACCCATGTTGACGAGAGCGCCGAGGTCGCCGACTCCTCTACTGTCGCATGTTTCGAAGAACTGCTCTCCGATGTCGTAGACGGCGTTGAATGGGTGACATCGTCTCGTCTCGGCCAGGCCGATGACGTCGTACTTTGTCCTTCTTGCTTGAATGAGCAAGTCTTCTATCGAGGACTCGGATGCAAGTGTACGTGCATTGTAGGTACAGATCGTCATCATAGTTCGTTGAAATCCAGGCGGCTTCCATTGACCCTGAGATTTTAGCAGCTTCTCCGTACTCGTCCTTCCCAACTCTGCAAATTGAGGGCTCTTTCGGGGTCAGAGAATGAGGCCCGTTTTTTTTTTACTGTTTAGCATTTTACATACCCACGTATAGTTTGCTGGGCTCTGAACGTGGGTCTGGGTGTACTCACGGGTAGCTTGCCAGGCTCTCCCAGAGTGGACGTGAAGCTTATTTGTTGGAGGCGACTCCTAACCACCTCCCATATACTTTCCAGCCACTTGATTGCAGGCTTTCGGCTGAATTGGCTCATAAGATACAATCCGCATAAGCGAGAACGCACCCACACACGCATGCATGAATACGCCTAGCAAATACAGAAAGTATATGCCAAATCAGCTCAGCAGAAACAGGAATTCCTTCTCCTGGATCCACCTGCGTCTCAGGAAAACAAAGGTCGCTTTTGGTCCGCGATTAACCCGCTATCCGCCAACTGGGGACGCGTCACGTAGCATCGCGATTAACCGGCTCGAGATCCCTTGTATAAGAGATTTAAAAGGACATGCATGAAAAATCATGTAATCCCATTAATGCGGTAACGCAAATCTCTTCTGGATATCTATAAAGTTCTGAAATGCTGTAGTGACCGATGAACTCCCACCAATTTTTGAAAAACTGGCTTTGTTGTTAAAAGAGTTGAACTTATTCATTCGTGTTTTGCTCATCTTCTTCACTTCTATCACTCGTCATTTTTTCTTGAAGAACTGCTCTGCTGTTTTCGTTATGTGATTAACTGTAGAATAATCGTACTAAACGATTTTTCAGCACTTCATTGTTTCTGAACCCAAAAATTTCCAATTTTAACTTATTATTTGCTGCCTACTCTTTTTAACGGCAGGGCATGCATTGTGAAATATAACTTCAATGATGCTGAGATATTTGCAAAACTCCGGACCACAGGTGTATGCGGCGGGGAACGAACGCGCTATTGTCGTTTCCGGGGAGTAGCGCGTTCACCACCACACCACGCGGGTTCCTCGTTTCGCCTGTCTCTCAGCTAGTTGTATCGATCTTTTGCCATCAGCAATCACCCAAAAATTTCCGTTTTTTGAAAACGTGTGAGATTTCCTTCGCTGCCAATGTTGTTACCACATTTTGAAATTGTTCATGAAAGCGTATTCTTCTTCTTATGGTTAGTCCTATTTCCCGCGATCACCCAGAAACGCACCTAGAGGTTACGCCTTTTGGTGTTGATAAACGTGAGCCACAGATATTTCTATCACTTCTCAGCATGAAAATATGTAATGTATTTCACCTTTTAAGAAAGGATAAAGCTGTCGTCGTTGATCAGTCCTTGAGGGATGCCCCATGCATTAGACTTCATTAAGAATCGTTTGGAGGTGATTGAATGCATATCTGGCCTTTACAATGAGTGGCTGTGGCCTAGCGATGTATCAAGCCTGTGCCACTATCCTCTGAGACAAGTCTGGTATCAATTTGCTGACTCCGGAGGGATGGAAAGCTTGGTGAGCCTGGGGCGTGGGGATCAATTTTGTGTATATTGCACGGCGCCTTCGAGCACTGCTCTACATGTGCTCTCTCCTTTCATCTTTTCTCCTTCTACCTTTTAGACTTATTAGTGGAGTAAAGATCTTGAGAGCAACTTACACCATCTTATAAATCTACTGAATAAGTGGAAGATGCCAAGTTCCATTTGCAACTTTCGTGATATGGTTTGTCTGTTCACAGGTTGTTCGTGCCGGTATGAGTCTTCTTCCATTTCTCGTCGTCGGTTTCGTCATTATGGCATGTGTTTCATCGTTAACAACTTTTCTATGCGCATTTTTCATGGATCAGGCCAATATCCATAAGGTATAGCTTTTTTTATTCATAGAACCCCATTATTTTAAAAGGACCACAGGTGCTGAAATGCGTAGTCCCACCAGTGCTCTCATATTGATGCATGTATTTAATAGGTTACGGTAAAAGTAACCCCGTAAAAATGTGCGGAAAAGGCGAGGTTGTGACATTCATTTTGAAAACCTACTATTCTCAGTGATTTTCTACTGTGTGAAATTCAGCTCTATTTGGCAATTACGGCTTGTATCTGTCCGTTTATGGCATGTGGCACCGCTCTTGGAGGGTTGTTCTTCCTCGGGCTTCGCTTCGGATCCATCCTCTGTGTGACTCCTTTTCTTGTTTTAGCAATAGGTGAGTATTAGTAACTTTCATGCAATATATTCTTGCAGATTTTATCGAAACTTCGTCGATGTAAAGTCGGTTCGAGAATGCGAGACAAATAAAATTGTTACGAGTGGAAAAATTCTTACCACACTGTAGATGAAAACGTCATTTTTATTCTGTTTTTTTGCACACGACCTTAATTTCACACCTAGTGGGCTGGTTTCAGTACTTCTAGCACTACATGCGATTCTTCGCATCCCTGAACCACAAAGCTGTTCGAGGTCCTCGCGTGTAGATTCAGCTACTGTTTGAGGATTTCATCTTCTTTATGAATGTGGTAAAATGCTGGCTGGGCCGATTATTCCTGGGGTGTTAGGATAGCAGGGTTAGATCTTTTTCAGTAAGGAGGGTTGGAAACCTTTGAACAAAGAATTCGATTGCAGGATGGGAGCTTTTCAGAAAAAAATATCACCTGTCGAATTGTCGGATAAGCCAAACGAACGCAATTATTGTCTCTATTTCTCTGTCGCGTTTAAGAACAGTTCAGTGGGTTATGGCCACTCTATGGAGTTGCTGAGCATCGTACATTTCATTCAGGATCTTCATGAAGAAATATTACTGGCGGATGGCTGGTTTTCATGCTGTGCGTTTGGCGTCCCGTGGTATCCGCTATTCACTTGTGTGAAACGGGATACTCCTAGAATCGTCCTTTCGACTGCATGCTCAATAACGCTGAGTGATCCTTCATTTTGTTTACGTAGCGACCAGGATGCTGACGCATACGTTAACGCAGGAAGTACCGTTGAGTCGAAAAGGTGGGCATGGAGTCGGGTGTTCTTTGTTCTCTTTACTATATCATCGATGCTCTTCAAAGTTTCTCAAAGCGCGCTCTTCTTGTTGTTCAACTCTACAGACTAGTCGTTCGTCATGTTGAATGCCTGACCCATATATGCATATCTGCCTCCATGTTGTACTATTCCAGTGCTGGAATTACGGTATCGTGGGTAGCTGTAAATAATTTTGGCGCGATAGTATCTTCTTTCCAAACCCTACTCTTTAGGTCGATTTTAATATCGTCAAAGAATGGTGATATTCTGGTGGTGATATTTCCATATAGCTTACTAAAGATGCTTTTGTAGTGAGTAGGGACACCATACCTGCCCAGAGCTTCCACGTCTGCTTTTATACCGACCGAGTCGAAAGTTTCTTTATGTCGATGAAAGTCAGGTAGAGAGGTTTCTTGTGCTCTCGTAATACATCGATGAGTCTAGATGCCTTGTGGATATGGTTCTTGATACTGGATCCTTTTCGAAACCCCGCTTGCCCACATGGCTCTCCTTAGTCCAGTGTCCTGCTAGTCCTGTTTAATGTGGCATGAGTGAAGAGTTTCTCGATGACAAATACCAAGTAGATTTGGCGATATCGATTTCCGATGTCGTGGACGTCTTTGTTTTTGGATAACAACACAGTCTTGCTTATCTTCCATTGAATAGGAACCTGGAATTTTGACCGATAACATGAGAAAAGTCCAGCCATTATGTTAATAAGGACTGGAGAAAGTTCTTCAGTGGTTCAGGTCTTATCCTGTCTGGGCTAGGTGCTGTTCGATTTTTCACCAACAAATTACCACCTTGGATTTCGGCAGGGAGGACCGATGGTATGATATATCCATCCTCCTTAATTTCAAATGGGACAGGAGGACATGGCTATTGAACACATTATATCAGTTGTTGTGAACGCTTTTCTTCATTGCAAATTCCAGAACGTATTTTTTATTAACCTCTGCATCGATCAATAATTCACTGCATTCTTGACAAAGAAACAGGAGATTGTTATTACACTATTCATTCACAATAGCCAGCGTTTCAGCGGTTTTGTCGTCTTCAGAGCCTGGAAAGGTCAAATTGACAGCAATCTGGTCCGCCAAATAACTCGGTATCCAGAGCAGAAAAATCGCAAAACCAAGATTTTAATCGCATTGAAAGTAAAATGGCGTGGTCCTCCAGCCGCATAGAGGCCACAAGAATAGGTTATGTCTTCCTCCACATTAAGGTGTCAGTCTTCGAAATTGCGTGAGATTACGTGTAATAACGGGATATTTTTCCCTGTTGTCCATTTTTGGATTTTCGGATTTCATCCATGATGCTTCAAGGATTTTGAGCGCGGTCGTTGTAGATTCGTGTGCGGGGTCGGTGACCTCTACATCAAAGTAATCTCCATTATGTTCTGTGCCCTATACTTGCGTAGTGGTGTATTCTATTTAACCTTGAACTTCCCAAGTAGGTGCTGTTTTCTACGGACATAAAGTGGTCTACACTTAACGGCAACATATTCTTCACCTCACGCTTTATAAGAAATCAGATAGACAGTACCCGAACTTATGCAGTCGGAATCTGCTTATCTCAGCCTCTGCAGCTTCGATCATAACTGTTGCTTTTTTCTTCCTAAGTTCTCCTTTTATCCTTTGTCTGAATTGTTTTGAAGGTTCTGACATGAGTTGGCGGTTGTCTCCAGCTCGTGCGATTCCACGCTGGCGTATCAGCTCTAGTGTTTCTGGAGACAGACGTCTCTTGGTGACTTCCGAACTCTCAGCTTTCATAGCGCTAACGTGAAAATGTCAGATAAGCCGCTCGTATTCTTCATCGGTGTTGTCCATGACATCTTACCAAAGCTCAACTAACGATCTGAGTAAATCATAGTAAGTGGTGGTTTTGAAATTTTTGCAGACCCAGTTTTGCGGCTTTTTCTTGTTTCCACAAAAGGGGGAACTCTTGCGCTAACCGGCAATGGATCGATTGCATGCAGAATTTCGGGACAATAACGACATTGTTTAGGGAGACTGATCGATTTACTACGACGTGATCTATTTCGTTATGGTACTCTCCATTAGGAGAATCCCATGTCCACCACTGAGAGTGGGGCTTCTGGAATTCCAAGTTGCCATAAGTTGGCCGTCATGATAAACTGAGAAATCCGCTTACCTTGCTCGTTCCATTCTAATTTATATGTCCCAATGTGGCGTTCTTTAGACGTTCTTCTGGGGGCAGTCTTAGCGTTAAAATCTTGAATTATGACCTTAAAGAATGTGTGACCTTCTCTGTACAACTTTTCCAAGTCCACATAGAACGGTTTGAGTTCGTCTTCGTCATAGCTTGATGTCGGCTCGTGTGCAACGAAAATTATCAAAGCGGGTATTGATTTATATCCTCTCAACCGTCATCGTCTGACTTGGGTTGCTAGTTATTCGAATGAATCTACGTTCATGGCCAAATTAGCGTTGACGAGAACGAAGACGCTGCCGACTGTTCTTTGAATGTTCCGAGTAACAGCTCTTCTCCAGTGTCATAGACAACGTTAAATGAGTGGCGTCTACTCGACTCAGTCCGATAACGTCGTAGCTTATCGTCCTTCTGCTGAACAATTAAGTCGTCTATTGAGGAATCAGATGTAGTTGACCGTGTTTTATAGACACAGATCGTCACCTTCGCCTTTCCAAATTTAAGTACCCTAGAATGGCCTCTAGATTTTAGCAAGTCTCTCCGGCCTCATCCCATCCAACGGTGCCTTATCGGGAGATTTTTCGAGGTCATGGGAGTGAAATCCATTTATTTTAGTGGGTTTGGCTTCCAATATCTACCCTATGGCTATTTGAACACTTAATGGGAGGCTTCTGGCTGAAATGACTTGTAGAATACAATCTGCGCAAAGGAGAACTTACCCACCACATGGGCATGCATGAATACGTCCTCGCACATACAGAAGGTGATGTCATATCGGCGGAGCGGAAACAAGGAGTCTATGCCGTGGATCTACTTGCGCCTTGGGAAGCATAAGGTTGCTTTTGAGTCTTAGATATTCTGCCTTTGTCTTCATCTGGAGTTCGGGAAATATGCGAATGGCAGACATCAATAATTATGGTTCATATACATTCCATATTCCTTCCAAGTGTTTATTTTTACAGGGAAATTTGTCCGAGATAACTATGTATTAAATCGATAACATCCTTTCCACTAGTATTGTGCACTGAACAGTGTACGAGAGAAGTTATCATCTTCATATTATGATTTACCCAAAAAACAAGATTATTAAACAGAGTTTGTTCGTATCGTTGAATTTCTAGACGATTCCCTGCTTATCATACAGCTTTATCCTCAAGTGGAAGCTGTTATTGCAGTCGAGGTTGATTGTTGTGAAAGATCCAGTGAACGCGGAGCAATGAATTAGACAACTTGTCATCATTGGGAAAGACGGAGAAAGTGCTGGGGAACGTACGGCTTATGGAAGGAAGTCTACGTATTTAAGTAGGCACTGAACATTTGCCATATAATCGACATGCTTTTGTATAGAGAGACATGCACTTTTCTCAGACGGATACTCTTCGCGGCCGCAGTCATCTACTGAGTCGGCAGCTTGTGCAACTACTACTTCTTCTTTGCTTACCAATCCTATGGTCAATCATCGATTTTCATCTAGAGTGGCTTAAGGATAAAGCCCTCGTCGTTGATCAATCCCTGAGGGATGCGCCATGCATTCGACTTCATTAAACATCGTTGGAGGTGTTTGAATGCATATCTGGTCTTTACGATGACTCGCGGTGACCTACCGATGTATTGAACCAGTGCTGCTACCAGACAAGTCTAGTAGCAACTTGCCGACCCCGTAGGGATGGAAGGCTTGGTGGGCCGTGGGCGCGGTGATCGTTTCCACGCGGGTGTTGCAGGGCGTCCCCGACCACTGCGTCACACGCGCCCTTACGTTGATGTAGGGTTTAAATATGCGTGTTCCGGAACCAATTATGAAAAATGAAAAGCACCGTGGCTGGTGACATCCTTGCACAAACGATCAAAAAGGAACTAACGTTTCGACGTCTTCGTCTTCAGTGTCTTCGTTTCGTCGATAAATATCGTTATCAACCTCGTGTAAACTCTTCAAATATAATACAAAATATTAAGCAATTCTTTAAATGTCGAATTGTGGAATTGAAAGTACGAAAAAGCTTGGACGTGTATTTCAGCCTGTACGCGTTGTGTGTGTTTCATACGGCGTAGGGAAGAGGCATACATATTCCTACACGATAATTTTCGAAAGCAAAACATGAACCATGTAGAAAATACTGTAGACAGCAAATGAGTGGGTTTCTCAAGGGTATTCGTGAGAAGTCATTTAGGAGTGGACGATGCATATTTGATGATTCACTCATGGCAAAGAGTCACTAAGGAACTGAGACAGAATCCGGTAAAAGAGGATTGCGCTGCTTATCGCCTAGCTCAGGTATGCACCATGGTACTGAGCAAGCACAACGGAGCCAGTTCCGCTGCTCTTCAGGTGCTCTCTGAGACTGGGCCAGCGATAATGATCAGTGCGTTGACGAATATCTCTGCAGATGCCGTCGGAGCATTCACCAGCTCTCCAGAGATCACGTTGTTATGCTACGGAAATGCTGCCAGCATATTCGTTGACTTCATATATCAGGTCAAATTTCATCTGTTAAGTATGTTCAATATAATTTTGCTGGTTTCTTAGTAGATGTCCTCAACCTGTTGTTTAGAGTAGATAGTGGTTCGTAGAAATGTTCAGGTAATAAGCTTATTATAAAGGCTTGGCGGTAAGCCATTTAAAGTGAACTGTTAACAAGTCAGTGTGAACGATTCAAATATGCGATAGAATATTTATCAATAGCAGTAAAAGGATAAAGCATAAAGCTCTTAACGTTGATTATCTCTGAAGGATGCGCCATGCATTCGACTTCATTAAGCATCGTTTTAGGTGATTGAATGTATATCTGACCTTTACAATAACTCCCGGTGGTCTACCGATGTATCGAGCCAGTGCTGCTATCCTCTCACAAAAGTCTAGTACCAATCTTCCGACCCAGGTGGGATGGAAGGCTTCGTGGGGCAGGGGCGCGAAGATTGATCCCATGTGGATTGCAAAGCGTCTCCGACCACTACCTCATACGCTCCCCTTTCAATCAATAACAGTAACATATGATATTCAAACCTTCGGATCGTTGTTAGTAGCTGAACGGAATTCGTCTGAAAATGTTATTGAAGCTTTTCCCTTCCTCAAGAAACCAGCAGAAATTGGCAAGGGGAGGAGTGGGAGCGGCAATGAGCGAAATCGTTTCTGATTTCCATCGTTTTGCTCTTAGATCACATTCTACAGTGCAGTGATGGTTCTCGCTGGGCATTTCGAGCTAGAGAAGGAACACAAAAACAGTCTTACCCAGAAGATCGAGTGCAGAAGCGACAGATCCGTTGATAGCATGGAGAAGGTTCGTAGAGGATGCATTCATTGTTTCGATATAACGCATATGGTGATCGAACCGTTGCAGAAATCGGTCCTGTCGCTTCAGGATAGACTCTCCAGTCAACTGTCGACATTCCTGGACCAGTACGTGGAGATGGTGACTAACAAAACTTTCTATTTGACGGTCATTTTTGTGTGGATCGCTTTCCTTGGGATTTCTATCAAGATCAGTACAGTCTTTACATCATTTTGCTCGCCTACGTCATTTAATTTATTCAGTATTCATATGAATTTGTAGAAGCCAATTATGATCTGCAGCTTAATAGTTTTAGAGTATCATGCAAATGCCGATCAATCTTACGCCTAGAAAGCTTTTCTCCAATGATTCGCCACTACGAGAGGTCAGAGCCTTTGTGTTCCTCCTCGGTATCCAAGCACAAAATTCATTTTTTCACCCACTCTCTTTTTTGCTCCCGCTCTCTCTTCCTTGCTTCCTTCCTCTCTCTACCTCTCTCTTCCTCTGTCTCCTCCTCTCTCTTTTCTTCTCTCCTTCTTTCTCTTTATTTCTGCCTGTTTTCACCCTCTCCTCATCTTTCTTCCTCTTTGTCCCTCCTTCTCTGCCCATCTCTCTTCTTCTGTCGTACTGCGCTGTAGCACATTTTTCATAGAATCCATAGTGGTCTACACTTTATTATTTGCTCTTGATCTTGTTATAAGAAGCGATTTCATTGTTGGTTTTACGGGACTTCACATTGGGCGATTGACAATACAAAGAAGTAGTTTGCTACAAATGGTAATTGTCGTGGACACTTTTGATAACTTATGATATAATCTCCGAGCGATCTTTTCACAGATGGATCATCTGCGAGTTTCTTTCGTCATCCCTGAATTTACATATGCCACTTTGTTTGTCAATAAACCTGGAAACCTATCGGATCAATCTCGACTGGAAAGGTCTGGTTTGTTGTTAACCAAACAGTGGACATTTAAAAAACTTAACGTTCAGGTTAAACTCGTTTGTGACCGAGTTAGAGTCATTACCGGGGTCTTGGGGGAAACAGAGCACGAACTACTTCATTCGAGACTTCGCCGATTACGAAAAAGGCATGAGCGAACTTGAAACTGAAGAGGGTACATTGGCTAGAGGTAAAGAATCTTCATATGCTTGTCGAGAGTGCTGTTTTGTACACTGATTAAGATGGAGGCTTAAGATCAAAGAAAATTTTTAATTTTGGTCATTCTTATTTGCAGCGCTATCGTTACCAGTAAACCTTATTATTAATCGAGAAATTCGAATGAAAATCAGTGTTTTTCGTTCCTTCTTAGCGTCAGGATTAAATGGATCGAAACAGAGGGGCTTAGGTCGCACGGAAAGCGTCACCTTTTTGTGTTATTTTGTTACAACGACGCCTTCTTTCTTACTGTTAATTCCAAAAAGGCATCATCCCGTGTCTTGCGAGGCTCTATGATAGTACTAGAAGTATCAGCCGAGCATCCAGATCGAAATATAGAAATAACAACCTTGAGTGATCACCTTAAAGCAATGAACCTTTGATGTTCACCATAGTTCGAACCTAGGAACGCCGACAAGCGCAAAAAGGCGGTTAGCAACTATCAGAGGTGCTATGGTGTGGTATGGTGCTATGCACAAGCATCAGCTAGTTTCCATTATAGACCAGAAGCATACGGGACCATAAGGAAATCCTTCAGATCCGCACACTCTGAACTTCAACGACCTCCCTTCGTTCCTAGAATGGCCTGAATATAAGTACTGGCGAGGCTTCCTGCACTTCAGGCAGGACAACTCAACGTAAGCTTTTTCTAAAATACCTGTTCAGTTTTTTTAAACTTTCTATTTCTTATATTTTTTGATTTCAGTGCATTAGAGAAGTTCTTCCTCACAACGGCTTACCATGGAGACGACCTTAAGGATTGGAGAAATCGCGACATGATGTTGAAACGATGGCGTTCAATAGTGGATCGTTATGCGTAAGTTAATAACAACTTCAGACACCGCATTTATTACAGAAATAAAGACTGTTAATTTTTCGTTAATTTTAATTTTGATTAATTTGTGAATTGATTAGTTAATTTTTTTTTATTTTTGTTAATTAATTCTTTTTGTTAATTTTTCTTTGGAAGATTGTTAATGTTTTTATCTCTCAGACCCGAATTCAATACTACTGTTTACTACGACGATGGTATCTATTTGGATTTAATGGAAAATATGCCGACTGACACCTGGCAGGTGAGAAACCCAGTTTTCCTTAGCACACTTTAGGAAAAAAGAATGCAGAGTAGTAACTGTCACACCACTACCGTTCACAATGTCGTGATTTCAATCATTCCTAACACTTATGAAACATAGATGAGAGACAGGCGAAACGAAGGACCCGCATGGTGTGGTGGTGAACGCGTTACTCCCCGGAAAGGACAATAGCGCGTTCGTTCCTCACCGCATACACCTGCGGTCCGGAGTTTTGCAAGAATCTCAGCAATATTGTGATTGTATTTCGCTTAATACCCTACCATAAAAATTATAGAAGGCAGAAAATAAAAACTAAACACTTATGAAACCTTCAACGTTTTGAATTAAACACTTGGTAGAGGATTAAGTTGCCTAGTGGAAGAACACTGAGCTGATGGCAGATTGCGTTTGGCAGATTTGGCAGACAAATCAGTGCTGGTTTTGATTCTGAACCTGGAACGGGCCGTACAGCTGTGGTATGTCTATGGATTAATACATTTCCGAAGATGGACGGTTCAATTCATTTTTTGCAAAAGTAATGGCCAATTTCAATGTCTTGGCTCGTGTTAAACTATAATACTTACTTGGATACTTGGAGCGCCGGCCCTCACTGGCTGTGCAGGCCCCAGCATAATCTCCATTTTTCGAAGTTTTTCTAGTTTAGCTATCGTGTTTAATTGGAGTCCCGAGGTCAGCCTAGCCGAAATTTTCCTCGGGTCGTCGCTACCACAGGTAATCACCTACTTTGCGGATAGGGGGAAGTTTGCCACCATGCGACTAGCTTGAGAACAGGACGGTGGTCAATCCTGGTATTGGTTTACTATTAGCTAAGCTTTCTGATGGAAAGGCCAGACTCCTTCTCAGTTTGCGATACCCTGCCGGGATATGGATCCTCCCGCTGTTCATCGCAGTCCGGCACACAGGAACACCTCCCAGCCGCGATGAGGCGGTAAACTGTTAGGAGGGAACCATAATGATTAGTTTAAAAAAACGCTGGAATCTACAGAGATTACATTGCCTACAAATTACAAGTTTTGAGATTCCACCCAAGTAAAATCTTGACTTCCTAGAACTCATAAAATGTTCTTCTGTCATAATTTTTTGGTCAAGACTCGTATTTCGGGAGCGAAAGCAGTCGAACAGTCGGCATCTCGTCCAATGTGAGAGGAGGGCGTTCCTAAGTGTACCGTTCGGGTTTACCGTTTCATCTGCTTCCTCTGCAGTGGAAATTTCGAAAATTTGAATTTTTTCCAGTTTTCTAAAAATTTCCATTCTAAACAAATCTAGAGAAGTAACATTTTGTAAAAACTGTATACACAGCGAAGCTTCTTCTATAAGTCTGCAAAGTTTCTAACTTCTACATTGCTCTTTTCAATGGAGAAATTATCGTCTGTCGTCCAAAAACCAGTTTCTGGCATTATTTGTTAAGCCAGTGCTAGGATTTTCATCTCTTGTGAAGAATTTAATGGAAGGTTTCGTCTTTCACCGAATGGCTTCCTGCTTCAGTCATGTGTAGCGACGATCTGTTGCATGGCGATTGTGTGTTTCATCTTCATGTGCGATTTCTTCACTGTGGTGATCACAATTGGCGTAATCACAAGTATAATGGCAGGTGGGTGTTTTGCTCTTCTCACTTGTCTAACATTTTGGAATATTACTGTTTTGCATCCACATGCCATTCCCACTTGGGTGGATAAAGTGCTGCTGGGTCTCGAACTCTGATATACGACAAGTAGTTATCCCTATAACAGTGCCTCTCCAGCTGAATAGAGCTCGACATTATAGGTGAAATAAATGACGTTTAAATGACGGAACATGATGGAATAAATTCAAGTAGATAAGGATGAATAAATAAAATAAAAAACAAACAAATTATTCCCAGGATCGACTTTCTCTTAACCTCGGCATTGGAATATGAATGTGTCGTTTTCTTGTTCAGCAATCGCGAGGTTTTTAAACAGCATACATTTGCTTCTATAGAGAAACACAATACAATACAACACTAGCTGACGTTTCGGCAGTATCGCCTTCTTCAGAGCCTGGAAGGGTATACTGATATACAATCTACTAGGCCAAACGCTTCAATAACACTTACACAAAGACGAAAGACTCTTTGGTAATTACATGACCAACAACTTCTCGAAAAACCCACCGCTTTTTTCGTGACTTCCAATGAGGAAGTTTAGAACAGCTGATTATAGTCGCATGTGGTTGACGACTGCACCATCGCACATCAAAAATCGATGCGAACGTACGGGATCAGGTCGCGTATGACCTCCGGGCATTCGTCCCTGCTATTCATTGTAGGGTTTGGCATTGATCCAAAAAGCCTCTAGGAGTTTTCGCGCTGGTGTTTTGGACTCCTGTGCAAGTATATTGACTTTTACTTCAAAATCGTCTCCGCTATGCTTTTGTATCCTATGCGTGCCTAATGGAGTGCTTCGTCTTAGTTTTCGTTTGCCATCTAGGTGTTCTTTTATACGGATACACAAAGGTCTGCCCGTTTCGCCAATATATTCATCTCCGCAATTGTTACACGAGATCAGGTATATCGTACCTGAACTCATGCAATCACCGTCCCTGCCGTAAGGGCAAATTACGCAATTTGTTGTTTCACACAGACGGTCATACAGGCGGTTGCGAACTAATTGGCGACGTAGAGTAGTCGGTGGTATTTCAACTATCGCTACCGATTCCTCTAGACCTGCCCTTCTTAAGTGTCGTTTTATAGCTGCGCTTACTTCATCGCTTATAAAAGGTGACATAAACGGAATTTTGTTTTGGCCAAGTGTTTCGCGTGGGCGCGTCGTTCACCTTGTAAACTTATCTCGTGGGTTTACTATTTCGTAGCCATTGGAGATGGCTATTTGCCGAGCCAAGTCGCGCGATTCTTCCTTTAGTTCCCTGGTAGTGCACACAGAGGTGGCTGTTCGAAACATGTTTCTCACAATCGCCCTCTTTGTGTTTGAAGGGTGGGAAGAAAGGAAATGAACAAGGATGTTCTTGTTACTTGGCTTTCGATACCACTTTGTCAGGTAACCGCTACTTGATAGGTTTATTTGGACATCCAAACCACAACCACACGTCGTCAACCACATGCGACTATAATCAGCTGTTCTAAACTTCCTCATTGGAAGTCACGAAAAAGCGGTGGGTTTTTCGAGTTGTTGATCGTGTGGTTACCAAAGAGTCTTTCGTCTTTGTGTAAGTGTTATTGTGAAGCGTTTGGCCTAGTAGATTGTATACCAGCATACCCTTCCAGGCTCTGAAGAAGGCGATACTGCCGAAACGTCAGCTAGCGTTGTATTGTATTGTGTTTTTATGGAAGTAAATGTATGCTGTTTAAAAACCTCGCGATTGCTGAACAAGAAAACGACACAAACAAATTATTGTTGATATCAATCCACTAGTTACTTAGGCCTAGTTAAGAGCAAACCTATGCAATGTCAGAGCACAATGAGGTGTTCGTAGCTACCATATCGCTGGAATATTAAAATAGAAAACGCTTCATGGGAAACGTCTGCTACGGCTTTTGCTCCTTGTTCGGCGTTGATTAATCTCTGAGGGATATCCCATGTACTCGACTCGACGAAGCCTCCTATAAATAATTTAATTCGCGGTCTATACGGTGACTCCTAGGGGTCTACCCAAGTACTAAGCCAACGTTTTTCTTTTTCATAGAGAAGTTTGGTAACATTTTTTGTGACGGTTTGCTTAGCCCAGGCGCGGAATCGAACGAAAGGCGACCATGCGCATGGCGAAAAACCTCTAAGCACTGCTCCACACTCATCCTTGTATGCTCCTATATATGAGTTTCTACATATTATGTTTTAATAATTAAGGTATTCTTGGTATCCTCTCATGGACGGGCACGGAACTTGATCCGATTGTTATGGCTGCTCTAATCATATCTATAGGATTTTCCGTAGATATTCCAGCTCACGTAACGTTCCACTATCACAGTGCTGGTAACAAATAACTCTTTTAGTCATTTCTATCCTCTTAAATCATTTTAAAGTAAGCATTTGTAGAAAAAACTAAAGAACGAGCGATTTTTCCTTCATGGAGAAAATGTATATGTGTAATTATGCGTGTATCACCTGTATCACCTGTAGTCCTGCTGATCGTCGAGTGACTCGAGCGGGCGCCAGTAAATCTTCCATTTTTCGCTGTCGCGTACAAGAGTAGCCCAGTGGGTTCTGCTCGCTCTAGGGACTCGTCGAGCATCATATCTTTCTTCAAGGTTTTTTGTGAAGAACTCTAACCATCGGGTCGGTGGTCTTCCTGCAGTACGTTTGACATCCCGAGGAATCCAGTCACTAACGGCTCTTGTCCACCGGTTTAGCAGGTTTCTGACGCATACGTTAGGGCAGAAAGTACCGTTGAGTCGAAAATGTGGGCAAGGAGTCGGGTGTTCTTTGTTCTCTTCACCAGATTCTTTTGAAAGCTCCCCAAGCCGCTCGTTTTCTTCTGCTCAGCTCTGGTGCTAGGTCGTTCATCATATCATCATCATCACCATCATCATCATCATCATATACGTGTAGAGACATAGAGACATTTTATCTTATTCTATTTAGCAGGAACCTTGTCTTGTAGATCAGGAAAGAAATCTTCACTACTGCTTTAATGAGAATAATTGCGTTCGTCGAAACGTTGGAGAGCAGTGATATTATCAATTTGCCATGTTGACAAAGCGTCTCCTTCCAAATCAGTAAAAGGCAACAACTGGTGCTGATAGTGATGATTTGCTACTCGTAGTTGCCAAAGCCTTCTTGTTGATATTTGAAGAAAAGTCGGTTTTTGAGACAACAGCAGTTAAGCAAAACAATCGTTTAATGAAGATGTGGTCAACTTTGTTGACTTTTTTGTTTACTGCCTTTTACAAGTTTCCACGGCAGGTTATTATGCGTGAAACAACTACAATGATGCTGAGATATTTGCAAAACTTGGGAACACAGGTGTTTGCGGTGGAGAACGAACACGCTATTACCCGCTATTACGCGCTATTACTAACGCGTTCACCACGACACCACCCTGGCCTTTCGTCCCGCCTATCTCTCAGCTAGTCATTGATCAGTGCCATCAATCAACTGGTCGGCAGGTGGTCAACTTTGTTGTGATACTCTCCGGTGGCTACCACGGTTTCACAGAGTTAGTTGAGCAATGTATCAATTTGTTCGCTCCATCACATGTGAGCTCTTCAGATGTTCTCATAGTTCCGATATCAGCGTTGGATTCGTTGGTGATGACCCTGTGGAGAGTATGTTATAGAGCATGCTGGGAAAATCTTTTCGAAACCTATTTAACGTGCCCATATTTTCGTACTGGTGGTAAATCGTAAGCAATGGAACCTATTGAAGCCAAAGTGGCAACATTTCTTTAGTTTCTGAAGGCGTTGTTAGTGGCCCGACATCATCGATGCCTATGCCAAAGTTTGCATTGGAAAGAACATCGACTCCATAATACTTATCGGAAAGCAGTTCTACACTGTCAGACACGGTGTTTAGTCCCTTGTATCTCTTCGGACTGGGCAGTCCGATTACTTCATAGGCATTCCTTCTAGTTGTTTCCGTTATGAGCTATTAATGGAAACCTTAAATGTCGTGTTTGCATTGTAAGCGCAGACCACCCGTAGTCCTCCAACACTCAGACAGCTTGGAATAGACCTGGGACCTTAACTGTTAGCCTTTCATCTTAGTCAACCTACCGTATGTGAATTCTATCGGGTTCATGGGAATGCGTTTATTTTGGTTTTTCCGCTTGCCGTTGCAAGCTACTTCTTAGTTGCTTTTTGAAGCCAGGTGGAATGAAGGTTTGCTTCTCGTAATTTCCTAGAGCAGAGATTCTGCTAATTGGCCAGGGTCTACTTCGAACCACTGCCGAAAAATTTCTGAATCATTGGTCGGAGAATTGCAGCGGATGGAATTTGTATAGAGGCAACCAAATCCATTGAAGTATACGTAAATATGATTGGGTTTGCACGAACATAGAGCTCAATCGAACAAAGAAACGGAGCGCGTTTTCTGAATTCGCCCGGATCTCAGCGCGGCATACTTGATCGCCTCTCAGTATGTTAGCAGTACTTGCGACCCTATTAAATGAGCGAAGAAAATCTCCTACTCCAGTGAGTTCAAGGCGATTTTTTGCTCAGATGATGTCAAGCTCATTCCAAACCTACGCGTACCAGATCCTTCCATACCTCTTTGGCTACTCAGTGTCTCTGAGAGTTGCTTCGAAAAGAGGATTAAGGATTAAGGAAAAGGATCACTTCTGGCTTAGCAGATTTGTGCAAAAACAACAGAAGAGCAAATCTGTGCAGAAACAACAGTAATGGGAACAAAAACCTATCTCATTGCTTTGACGAATTTAAAAGGGCGGGATAAAATCGACTACTTCATCGTATATTTTAAATAAAGCTATGATCTACACTTAACCTTTCTTGCAGCTTTCCTTCTTCGCTGAAATGTGTGATTCCAGAATACCATCTTTGCCCACCGACTACCACCAAAAGTCGCTTGCGCTTCTGTCTCTCCTCTGTGGGGCTTCCAGCTCTCCAGGCCTCCCTCAGCACGAGTCTCTGTGTTCTCTCCCTACTCATGGTTACCATATACATGTCTCAGGTTAAGGTTTTTTGTTTTCGGCATTCAGAAATCCATTATGGCCTTTTCACTTTGTCTTCATGTGGGAACAACTTTTCAGGCATTCGTGAAAACGATGATCTTGTGCGTGGTCTTGTGTGTAATCCATGGTTTGCTATTCATTCCATGTCTAATCAGTGCTGCCGATTGCCTCTCCTCAATGTTCAGACACTTGAGGAGACCATAAACCATCATACCACTTGTATTAATTATTCTTCTTCTATTCGTTACAGGAACAACAGGAAACTGTTAGTGTTGAATCAGCTTAGTTTTAGCGCTTCTATTTCTAAGCTTTATATCATCGTCATTCTTCATGCTGTAAATTTGCTTTAAACATGTTTTCAGATTTGCTCTGTACGTGAGGGGTTTACCTGTTTTTGTTTGGTGTGCTTCATTTCTATTCAGAGAGCAATGAATATGCAATTAAAGTATCGTTTGGAAACAATCAGTGCAATCGGGTTTTTCACTACTGAAGAGTAACTTCGTCCTTCCAAGTTTTGTCGTCATTTACAAAACGTGCATCATTCGACAGACAATATTAGTAGCACAAATAGGACGTTTCATTCTCAGCTTCGTTTTTTCATTAGCATCATTTCGTTTCAACGCGAAACTCTTCTTAACACAACGCGCGAAGTGCAATATGAGCACTGCATACATAGCGTCAAAGTGGACGAAGTGCATTGCACCATATGCATTCGTTTCCCGAGAGTTTATTTTGGTACGCAGAGCTTTTTAGCGCATTTCTTACCTTCAGTTAATAACTTGCCCGGTACGCATTTGTCAGGAGTCATCAGTGAAAAGCTATTCTGTTCAATTGGTAGTTTGCGAAGAACCGTTTTTCGCACAAGTTCTTTTTACGGTGAGAGATTATTCCTGTTGAAAATGCAGGAATCCAGAGAATGTAGCTGATGTTGGCGCAGAAATATCTGTATTTGGACATCGAAATTGACCTAGCGAGAGATCGCTGTGATGAGATGATGGCTCAGTGCCCAGAACTTGTGCGTTTATCAATGTGCTTTAACACGATTTACCTTTAGAAGCAGTTACAAGTCTCGCTGCTACAACCTTTTATCGTTGCTTCAAGCGCTATTTTACAGCTTGCGCTTTGGAATCTATAGATGCATACATAGATATATACAAATAACTCACGAGTGCTCCGTAGAATCAAAATTTTACATCACCTATCCCTTGTCACCTGTCGCTCTATTTGTTGCCGAGTGACTCGAGGAAGCGTCGGTAAACTATCAGCTTTTCCACTAGTGTGCAAAGGTAGCCCAGTAGATTCTCCTTGCTCTGGGGTCTTGTTGAGCGCTATGTCTTTTTTCTAGGGTTTTTTTTCGAAAAACTCTGACTATTCTTTGAAGAACTCTGAGAAACTATGCCTGTGAGATTAGGATCCCTTCCCTTACCTGTGTGAAACGGGACACTTCCAGCATCGTACTTTCGATTGTGCGTTCAATAACTCTGAGCGATCTTTCATCTTGCTTACCAGCGACCAGGTTTCTGACGCATACGTTATGGCAGGAAGAATTTTGGAGTCGAAAAGATAGGTACGGAGTCAGGTGATCATTGTTCTTTTCACTACATCCTCGATGCTCTTGAAAGCTCTTAAGGTGTGCGCTTTCTCCTGCTCAACTCTGGAGCCAAGTCACCTATCATGTTAATTCCCCGGTCTAGATAGAAAGAACTGTGACATACGGAAATATATATCCCATTGAGTAGGACATACGAAACGAATCTCTTCTTCAAGAGCATCGTTTTTATGAGATTTAGTCGAAGATCAATCTTTCCACAGGCTTTATCAAAGCCGGCAAAGATTCTTTCCGACTGGCCAATGCTTGGTGTTATAAAAACACGTTCTCAATAAAGCGAAAAAGAAGTAATAGTCGGTTATCGATTCTCACTTTCATATTGTTCCATTTCAATTTTCGCACGAACCCTCGAGAGTGGTGGTGAAATAATTCTAGAGAGATGGCATCGCCCTGCTGAACCTCTCTACGTGACGTTAATGTGGCTGAGGAAAAGCGACGTTTTAGTTGCTGTGTTTTTATATAGCTCAAAAGGAATCATTATGTACCGCGGAGCGGTTCTGGCTGTTCACATCTACCGTGATTGATCCTGTATCAACTGAGTCGAAGGCTTTCTGTAAATTGATGAAATTGAAACAAAGTTGTCTCTTGTACTCTCGTGATAAATGAATTATTATCGTCTTGAATGTGATCCATCGGATTGAATCTTTTCCGAAATCCCGCTTGTTCACATAATCGTGCTTCGTCCAGTGTTATGTCATTTCTGTTGAGGACGAGTCGAGTGGAGAGTTTGTATTCGATGGAAGTAATGCAGATTTAGTAGTAGTTGCTGATATTATAAAGTTTACCACTCCTGAATAAAAACACGGTCTTGTTTCTCCTCCTAAGAAGAAGAACTTTGCATTCTGAGAGGTAACGCGTGAGCAGCCGAGCCACTGTGTTGATGAGGAACGGCGGAAGGTTCTTCAACTGTTCAGATCTTCTCCTCTCCGGACTAGATGCTGTTCGACTTTTCGCCGACGAAGCAGCATGTCGCATTTCGGAAGAGAATACCGGTGGGACGACATACCCACCCTTCTTTATTTCGAATGGGGGCAGGATGACGTGTTTTTTGAACAGATACGAATAGTAATCGCGAACGATTTTCCTCGGTGCCTTTCTGGAAGGTGTAATTGTTTGGTCTGGGTGTCAGAGTGCAGCAATCTCGGTTTTGTAATTGGCGAAGCTTCGGTGGGCTTTTCCAATGCTTTTCCCAGCCTCTGCAGTTCTGACATTAACTGATTCTCTTCTCTGTTTAAGACCTTCTTTTATCGTCTGTCTGCACTTTTTACAAGCTCGGACGTGAGCCGGCGGTTGCCTGTAGTTCATGCAATTGGATGTTGGCGCTTCAGTTGGAATGTTTCTGGAGACAGACATTCCTTGCCGACTTTCGAACTTTCAGCTCTCACAGCGCTGACATGAAATGTTGAATGTGCAGGGCGTATCCGTCGTCGACATTACCAATGACTGCACCTTCCTAACAGCCTACTATCGTTTGGAAGTGATTGAATGCGTATCTGGTTCATGCAATGACTAGCGGTGGTCTATCGATTTATCGAGTCAGTCTTGCTATCTTTCCAGAGAAGTCTGCTAGCAGTTCGCCGACCCCGGAGGAAAGGAAAGGTTGGTGGGCTAGGGAACGGAAAAGGATCCCATGTGTATTGCAAAGCGTCTCCGACCACTGTGCCATTCGCACTCCAAAGATATACAATTTGTATTGTCAGTACTGAAACATTCAACACAATAGTGCTTCCTACACCGACTGAATCTAATGCTATGCTGCATAGTATCTTTTACAGCGTATTTGAAATCTTAGTACCTTCATGTAGCAATGTAACATCGCCATATCGCCTCTTTGTCCGTGTTCTCGTTCCACAGCCGCCACCCACTTTCCCCAAGGGTATAGGAAGGCAGCGGTGTGGAAGCACTCAGGCCTACAACGTGTTGTAAGCATACATCAATCATGAAGCCATTCAATTCGATTCTTCTAACACAGTTACTGCAGACCTTGGGTTTTTTAAAAATGAGGACTGTTATTGGAACTCTCAATTTTGGGTGGACTTGAAATGCAAATAACATTTCACGGGAGTTATTAAATTTCCTTAGATGGATAGGGGAAAATTTGTACCGCAGATATGTCAAGTTGGTTATTTAACAGACACGGCATACGTTGTGCCTCCCAACGGTTTACCGCCTCCGTAGCTGGGAGGTGTTTCTGGGTGTCGGACTACAATGTACAGAGGCAGATTCATCTTCCGACAGGGTTTCCCCAGCTAAGAAGGAGTCCAGCATTTCCACTAGAAAGCGTAGCTAAGAGTAAACCAGTACCAGGATAAGCTGTTTCTTATGCGAATGCAAATCGATTTGTCAAGTTTTATCTGCTAGGGTTGTGAAAGTGTTTGGCTGAGTAGATCACATCTCAATTTGACCTTTCCAGGCTTTGAAGAAGGCGAAACCGCCGAAACGTCAGCAATTGTGTTCTAATAAATTCTATATTAACAACCTCGTGTCTGCTTATTGATGAAAAACATTGAATACCAGGATCCACCATCGTCCTGGTAACTAATCGCATGGAGGCAAATCTCCCTCTGATCCACAAGGACAGCGAGTACCTGTTGTGGTGACGACCTGGCGCAGAATTTGGCCAAGTTGACCTCGGGACTTCGGGCAGCCTCTATGGATAAACCAACGAATCTCCGAAAAATGGAGAAAATGGAACACGTTGTGACGCACTTTCTAATATTCACAGAAGTGCAGTTTCATGGTGTATCATAGTAGAATTCAGTAAGTAATAACATATAATTCTAGATTGACAAAGATCTCGGAAAACTATGGCGTATTATTGGAAAATCAGCACTGTTTTGTACTTACTATATTTCGATACGGCTGACCTGTCGAAGTTTCACTTGTTGTAGCCGTAATGAAACCATGCCCCGTCTCACATGAAAGCAGTTCATAATTGAGCGTGTGTTAGAGCTTTCCCAAATGAGACGGGATACCTTTGCCATATTTTTTCCGTTCTTTTTCCAAACAACTGCTAAAAGTTCTGGTCGAATCCGCAAACCGTTAAACTGCTGTGAGAGCGTCGCTGGCGAAAATGACGAACGACGGTCCACTCCGACGACGGAAATTTGTTACTGGTTGGCCATTGAAAAGTCTATAGTTAGAGCAGTGTTCTGAAATCCGAAAGTCTCAACATATAGATAGGATGAAGCGGATCAGTTGCCTAGTCCGTTCATCCACTGAATTGTCATACACCATCCGGATGTTCCCATAGTACCTAGAAGGGGTTCCGTTGTCGACATGCCGAAGTTAGAGCATGTCTAAAACCCCCCACTCTTTCTTGCTTGCCTACCGATTTGGGGCCCAATGTTTTCTAATTTAGGGTGTAATTTTGTTGCGCACAGAATACAACACTGCTACTTAAATGTTTAGAGTAAAGTTAAATGCGATGTTTTAAACATAATGTTAGTGAGATATTTGCAAAACTCCTGACAGCTGGTGCATGCGATGGAAACCGAACATGCTATTATCCTTGCCGGGGCAAACGCGTTCACCACCACACCATGGAGATCCTTCGCTTCGCTTCTCTCTCAGTCGTGTTATTGACCTGTAGGCGCTACAAATAAAAATTAGAGACATTGCGATGTTTTATTTCATATGTGCGGTTTCGATGTTTTTTCTTATCGTGAAGATCACTACAACAGTCTCTCACCTCTTTTTAGCAGTTGTCTATCATCTTCTGCAATAAATCTGGATTTTTTAAAATTTACTACAGCAGTTGATTCTCGACGCTATTCTTTAATATCCATTACTTAAACGGAATGTAGCTGTGTGGTTCCGCCTAGGACCTGAGATTGGACACATTTCTTAGGCGCCATTTCAATTACTCTTGTTCTTATCCCCATGCTGACTTAGTGTGGTCGTGCTACCTGTCGACCGACATCGATCCAAGCACGTCTTCAAAATCGTAGGTAAATCAAATAAACTTAGTTGGAGCGTACGTCTATTGAACGACCTAACCAAAACTCCCACGACAGACTTCCTATTAACCTCGACATTGATCTATTAACCACGAAAACTACTGATCGTCTTCAGCTTGTCATGTTGAAAAAACCTTATTTTCAGAAACAAAAAGTTTATTTGGCTTCCAGTCATAATCGCACAAATTTGTACAAGATATAAGGACATATATTACCTATTAGCGATATTTACATGCTATTCGACCAATAGTAACAAGTGAGCTAGCTGAGAATGGGAAACGAACAGCATTGAGTGAGGAAATCGTGAGAAAATATCCCGTTTTTCTTATGTCGACGTGTTGAAGGAGTCTCAGACCTCTGGACGGTCGGTGACGAAGCTCTTCTCGGGCGCGATCTGAAAGGATATGTCCGACCGATGAGAGAATTATGGCAGCACAAAGGCGAAAAACTATACTCTAGCAGTTTTTTGCTTCGTTCGGGATGCCTTTCCTGGGATTGGCTTTATCTCAGCTGCTGCTCCTGAAACAAGCCGCATTAAGGTGGTTGCTTATCTCTGTTAGTTATTGAGGAGATGAACGATCACACCTTTCGGTCGTAGTGCCCATCTGACGGAATCTAGCATGATTAAAATCGCCGGAATAAATACCAAACCATGTAAATTACATAGCACAACACATAGAATCATCGTCTTAACAAACACCTGGAAAAAGAAATAGACAAGAACAGATTGAAGTATCACCCTACAGATTTTTTGTCACTTCATTTGGTTCTGAAGACACGACTTTTGATGGATAGTAGGTCCGTTTGGAAGAGAATCAAGTGAAATGGAAATGAAGCAACGATGGATCGAAAGACTCTCTTAATTTTAAAGCAAATTAAAAGTACTTTTCAGGAAATCTTTTCCTATTTAAAAGTTTGGAACAGTTCGGATACAAAGAACTAAGAGAATTATGAGATAAAAGTCCTTGTTGGCAATTTTATTGTTGCTGCTGGGTACAGTAGAGAACAAGTCAGAAGGCGTTTTAGTGTTTAAGGATCACCCAAAATATGCTGTTGTTAACGCCGACATTTCCAGGAACATTCGATTTCTCAAGGTTCCTAATGAACTTAAGTCCATTTTGAGCATTTATAGAATGAAGAAACGCTCGAAATTCTAAAATTAGATATTGTAAAAGCAAAAAGAAAGTAGCATACCCCTGCCATGTACAAATTAACGAAGAGCAGGCTGCAAACACAGAGGATAGTGCTGAGAGCGGCCTGTAGTGCCGGGAACGCCACCGACGACAGGCAGTTCGTGAGCCGATCGGCTGGCCGAGACATTGGACCTTCTTGCAGAGCTACAATACCACCATGCATTCGCCGTACTTGAAAGAACCTCTAAGTCAATTTAGTCGACGTGAGCCACTCTACAGCAACAGTGACAGCGTCAAATCCAACATCACGTAGAAGTTAGTAGTAAGTACTATCTCTACACCAGAGTTTCTCATGGGATGTAACCTACCCATGCGAAAATACAGAGCACACATTTTTGCTATTTAATATGATGACTGGTAAAGTAACAGCAGATTTTCCTTCAACGTATCAAGAGAGTCATGCGTCTACCATTTGCTTTTTGGTTTTTCCCGACAATTCAGAGTGTTTAAAAGCGCATGAGTTGTTGGTGATGGCGGGTCGGAGTTACAAGGCACCTCCGCTAATGCCTGGTAGTAAAGAGTGCTATGATACTGCTCAAACATTTCAACTCTGGTAGACACGCAGTGATAAAGAGATGGAAACTCGCACATGCTTGATAATAGTGGTAGGAGACGTGAGCTGGGATGTCGACAGAGAATCCAATGGAGATGATGGTAGCGGCCATCGATATGGGATCCAAATCCACTCCCCACCATGATAAGATGCCAAGAATTCCTAAAAAAGAAAACGTTGTTATTGACACGTAGACAATGAAAGAAAGATGCTTTGCAAAACAATGAGGTTAGGAAAAAAATGATGAAGCTCTCGGCGCTGATCAATCCTTGAGGAATGTGCCATGCATTCGACCTCATTAACCATCGCTGAAGGCATGACTCGCAGTGGCCTACCGATGTGTCTCGAGCCGGACAAGTCTGGTATCAATTTGCCGACTCCGGAAGGGTGGAAGGCCATGGGCACTGAGATCGATTCCACATGTGTTGCAGGGTGCCTCCGACCACTGCGCCACACGCGCTCAATAATGGGGTCAAAAACATTAAATTACCTTATCTTTCCCAATTATGTGTGTAGAATACACAGCGCAGTCGATACCATGCGAAAACACCTCATGTACCCTTTCATTACTTTCACTGCGATCTGTTCAAATTAGGTTGTGCCATGGTGTTCGTCAGAAGTAATACAACCTCTCAATTGCTAGCATACCATAATGTGCTCAGTGTTTTTCCCTGTTGTTTAAACAGGAGGCCGTCAGTACGCATTGGCAAGAGGTTGAGCACCCCGCGGCTCAGTTTCCTCCATGGAACTTGCTACTCTTCTCGTTGGTATACTCTCAACAGAGGCGGCTTCTGGATGAAAATGTCAAACACCTTTTCGACTTGTGTGGAGATTAAACTCTTCTGTATGTATCATAATCACATCCAGGAAACCTTACCGGCCGATCTGAGGCGCTAGTTAATTAGGCGAAGCACCGAGCTTGCTTTCGGATTTAAAATCCACCAAGACGTAACAAAAATCTATTGTCGGACTTCTTACCGAATAAGGGCACTGGAGCTTAGAGTGTGAATTAACAAAGGGTATGGGTAACAATCGGCACCACATCATCTGCTCAGCTTTACGGTCCCTCCTACCATGATATATATTTCTATAGACATAATAGATATAGTCCATTGAAGAAAACGATCATATTTCGACATCTCAGTCATATCAGTAACGACGTTGCTCTCAAATAATGAGGATTTTTGCAAAACTCTTGCAAAAATAGCTGAGAGACAGGCGAAACGAAGGACCCACATGGTGTGGTGGTGAACGCGTTACTCGCCGGAAAGCACAATAGCGCGTTCGTTCCCCAACATATACACCTGTGGTCCAGAGTTTCGCAAATATCTCAGCAACGTTGTGGTTGTATTTCGCTTAGTAACCAGCCATGAAAATTATAGAAGACAGAAAACAAAACGTTAAACATTATGAGGATTTTGTTTTATCAAAATGGAGATCCTCCAAATAGGTGGCTTCAGCGTTCGATTGGAACAAATTGTTACCTTCTCGGAGCCCGCTGAGCACACCGTAAGAGAATACGGTGTAATAATCAGTGAATATTTTCAAAGCACGCCGGAAAAGTTGAGCTACGGGAAAATGAATGAAGAAAAAGCAGAAACAAAAGTTAAAAAATTTAATATGATGGTAGCACGAATACCAAGATCCACTACCGTGCTGGTGTGAAACTAGTCGCATGACGGCAAATCTTCCTCTGGTCTAGAAAGGCCGGCGGCTGCCTATTGTGGTGACGACCTGGTGGAGACTTTGGCTACGTTGACTGCGGGCCTCCAGGAAACCACAATGGCTAGATGAGCAAAACCCCGAAAGAACCGAAATTACGCTGGCGTCCTCACAACCAATGAATATGGGCCACCCAAGTATTCAAGTAATATGATGGCGGCATTGTCAAATTTTTAAAAAAATATGCAATCACTCTGGAGAAGAAGCCCGTACCTGCACATATGGATAGCACTGAAAGACTAGCGATGGCAACAGTAAAGAGATTGTTGAGGAAAATGAAACAGACGAATGCCATGCAGACCAAAGTGCCCAGAACTGACTGAAATCACTTGAATAATCTGAGATATTTAACAGAACTGTTCTGTTTAGTCATAGAAGCCTCCAATTTCGATAAAACCTAGGGAGTACGACTGAAATACGAGAACAGAAGTAGAAAGAATGAAATACGAGAATTTTAATGGAATATTTCTTGAGCGTTGTGGTTACTGTCTTTGTGCCACATTGGTCATCTGACTGATGCAACTACTATAAGCTGAGAGACAGGCGAAATGAAAGACCCGCATGGTGTGGTGCTGAACGCGTTAGCCCCAGAAAGGGTAATATCGCGTTCGTTTCCCACCGCAGACACCTGCGGTCCGGAGTTTGCAAATATCTCAGCATCATTGTGGTTGTATCACACATAATATTCAGCAGTGACGAATTGTAATAGGCAGTGAATAAAAAAAAGTTAACCGCTACAACCCATGGAGCTCTGGAAATTTCGTGTCATCATAGAACGCCTTCACCTACCTGCCACGTGTCCGTCGCCATATTGTCGATCAAATCCAAGTACACTCCATCTTCATGAAACACCGATGGCTCAAACTCACTGAAAATGCTGAGGATCCAAAAGTTCTGAAGGCTTTCTTTAGAAAGACAATGCATGTCCTAGTCAGGTTGTTATTTTGTCAAAGTAGATGCATTGGATACCTCAGCAAGATTGTTCTTTCGGTAAACAAAGGCGAACGAATGTGAATGAGGTATCCAGAAATTTGTTTTTTCCACCGAAAAACTATCATGGACTTGTGAACTGCGTATAGTAGTTCTTTTTGGGTAAGTAAAAGTCTCAGCACACTAGGCCGTAATCAAACTAGGAATTTATTTTTATTTATTTTATTTTTATTTTATCTAATTTATAAGAATTTTTTTCTGGAAAATAAAGCCTGAAAAAATCCTCCTTAATTCTGGAAAATGGATGGTTTGGAATATCGTAGATTTGAAAACATTCTTAAGAACCTGTAGTTGTCGACAAGCTTCCGCCAGGAGTGCAGCATCATTCCACGTTCATTCCAGTCCGACAGCGCCTGGCCGTGGTAGCTCGTCGTGAAGAAGAAGCGATCCAGGTGCTCTTGCCTGAAAAACGACAATTCGCTTTCACTGCGATGAACCAGAGACGAGATTGAGATCAATTAGGACTTTTTCACAAGGTCTATTTTAATATAGAATTGTGGATTACATAATCGAGGTCGATAAACTTTTTGGCAGATACAACATTGTGCAGCGCTTTTGTCTGAGCACTGACTGTTCTCTTCGACGAATGCACACAACTAGGTTAAAATTTTTATTCATCACAGTTTTATACTTCTATACCTTTTTCAAATATTCCTGCGGGAAAGAAAGAAGAAAGAGAAGAAGGCAAAAAAGGTATCCTGAGAGAATCGCTAAAATTCCATTCGCTGCATCATAAAGGTGATTGAATGAATGTTTGGCTTACATGAGGACTTTGTGGGTCTACGTATGCAGCGATTCAGTATTTTTAACCCTCAGAAAGGTTTGGTACAATCTGTCGACCCTTGAAGGATGCAAGGCTTGGCAAGCACAACGCATGTGAGTGAACTAACGGTACAGCCGTTGCGTCGCACCTCTAAGCTCTTCACTACATTCGCTATCGTCGCACATGCTGTATTTTCGAAAAACAGTTTACAGTGCGAAATCCCTACCCATCGCTTCCATTTTTCAGCTTCACAAATCCTGCCCAGAAATCGTATTCTGGCCATTTCAAAAAGTATCTTAGTTCGTCATCGTTGAAAGTCGTCACCTTAAAACAATATGTTATGTTCCCAGGATCGACTTCCTATCAACCTCGGCATTGGATTATGAATTCGTTTTCTTTCTCAGCAATCGTGCGGTTGTTAGACAGCATACGTTTACTTCCATACGATAGCACATATACAACACAACCGTAGCTATCCTCGCACGGTATCCTAAAACACCAACGCGCAAACTCCTCGAGGCTTTTTGGATAAATACCAAAAATCCTACAATGAATAGCAGTGAGGAATTTCCCAAGATTACGCGTGATTTTGCCCCATACCTACGTATCGGTCGTTGATGTGGGGAGATGCAGTCGTCAACCATATGCGACTCTGAGCGGCTGTTCTTCCTCGGTGGAAGACAGGTGAAAAAAGCGGTGGGTTTTTCGACAAGCCGTAGATCTTGTAATTATCGAGCAGATTTTCATCTTTCTGTTTGTGCTGTTAAAGCGTTTGACCTAGTGAGTTCCGTATTAGTGTACTCTTCCAGGCTCTGAGGAAGGCGATTCTGCCGAAACGTCAGCTACGGTTGTGTTGCGTGTGTGTTATTACATGGAAGGAAACGTATGCTGTTTAACAACCTCGCGATTGCTGAGAGAGAAAGCGACGAATATGTTATGTCTTATTTACTTTCTATTTGTTGTATTCCTTTCTTGAAATAAAAACCAAGCACTGAACAAACTGCCACCCAATCTCTTCGTAAATGATCAATATATTTGCTTAGAGTGTTCAATTTGCACAAGGTTGCTATACAACTCTTGTTTTGCTAGCGTCGCGATGCCTTCATTTTCTTCAGAGCCGATGATCCGAGTCGATGGCCCACAGTCGTTCGCCCTCGAATAAGGTCATTCGAGTGGTGCTCCACCGAAGAAAGTTCGACTCGACACGACCACGGAGACCCGCATTGTGAGGACGAAAGGCTGTGGACCGTCGACAGGGACCACCAGTTCTAAAGAAGAAGACGTCAAACTATTAGCTGAATGAGGGTTACATAATAGCTTCATGTAAGTTGGAAAGTCTAAACAACTAAGCACAACATTTCTATATGTTGTAACATCAACGAACTTCAATGGTTGCAGGTGTGGTTGTCAGTGGTTCCTCGTCTTCCGGCTCTGCGAATTCGTCATTACCGTCGTCAGCAAATGCTGGAAGTTCTTGTCTTTATTACACTTAACCACTTAAACAATTTAGTTTTTAACTTTCACAATTGTTAAGATGCGAAAGGAAAACAATGAGCCCGTCATACTCTGATGAAAAATCGCATAGTCTCTCATGAAGAAATTCGTGCCAACCGGTCCCCAGCTTTTTCCCCACGTTCCTTTCAGATTTTCCATATCCTCAACCAGTCTGCAATACTCTCAATGGTTCTGGAACTACAGTGGATAAAAATGTGCTCTAATAATAAATTACCAATACCAAACCATTACTAGGATCCACCACCGTCCCGGTATCAAAGTTGCATGGTGAGAAATCTCCCTCTGATCCATAAAGGTTGCGACTGCCTGTGGTGGTGAAGACCTGGGGCAGACTTTGGCTAGACTGACCTCGAGATTCCAGGAAACCACAAAGACTTAACCAGCAAATCTCCGAAAAATGGTGATTGTGCTGGGGCCCACAGCAGTAGTGAGGAAGGGCCGTTCAAGTATCAAGTAATAATAAATTAGACGACTTTTTTGCTAGTAAACTAGTTTTTTTTCCAAAATCTTTCCATTTTTATCAGGCGAAGTGCAATGGTAAGCATTATGACATACGCATTGATGCGGTGAAGCCGTTTTGGCTCTGAGAGATTGCCGGGCTTTGACACGAATACGGTAGCCATCGAATAGCTGGGCACTTGGTACGTAATACGGTATTTGTCGAGCTGAAACATAAAAGATACTACCTGCTCAAGTGCTTTTCCGAAGAAAATTCGAAGACCTTTTGAGTAAATCGCATAACACAGCTTCAGGAAACTATAGAAACATCATGAAACATGGAAGCAAATGTATGCTGTTTAAAAACCTCGCGATTGCTGAACAAGAAAACGACACATTCATATAGAAACATCGTTAACGAAGATCAAACGAACCACACCAAGATAAATAATGTGCCACAAAAATCAAGACTTATCGTGTTTAGAGGATTGGGTCTCCTTGGTAGAGCACGCTCGCTACTAGGATTGGGCCAAAGTTTCCACCATCTAAACCCATTTCTAAGGTATCCTTGCGAAAGGTCGCATGTAGCTACATGAGCTTCATAGCGGACCCCGCAACCAAGCTAGAGCTGAAGCGCTAAATAGGAGCGAACAACAAGAACTGGTGGCATTAACAGCGCCCCATTTCCTCAAACATTTTTTAGAGAGCAAGATCCCAACAATAATGTTGATGTCAAACTTCGGATACCTGCAAACGAAACTCAAAGTCGTCAATCACTATTATGCGATGGGATATCGCTCCAAAAATGTGCCATACTGGAGTTACGAAAGCTAATAAGGTTAATAAGGCTAATAAGGTTAGACTCAGACTATCCGGTAGCAATAACGGCGCGAGAATTTGCAATAATTTCTTATCGGTTAGATATTGGGATAACGGAAAAGCATCTTCAAGATGCCTCCCTTTATCGCCCATCATCTGAGGAGAGAAAGCATTTAAAAGTCAATAACGGAAATGAATCAACAAATAGGTTAAAAACGCAGAAGCGACTGGTTCAAAGCCATCAGTCATCTCAAGTTGATTTACTAGCACGTTCCGTTTTATATTTACTTATCAAAACTCATAAGTTAATATCAAATGATGATCTTATGCCTACCGAACCATCGTTATTCAAAGTTAGAGTAGTCACTAGCTGTGTAGGCGGGCCAACGGAGAGAATGTGGTTTTTAACCCAAATACTTGCCCATTTTTTAAACACATTCCAGCGCATCTTACGAACACCCAGATGTTTCTGGATCGTCAACATAACGCGTGTCCTAATAACGCGCACGTATTGGAGTCTTTCGACGTTACCGTCTATCTTTATAGAAACGTGTCGAACGACTCCTCCATGCACGCCATCCTCGAATTCCTAGGCAACACGAAGAGGCAATGAACATGTATGGCTCCTCGATTCGGTAGCTCCTGGAACTCTTAAAAGAGTGCTTAAACTACTGGATATTCAGGTGGCCTGGGAAGAATTACGCACAAATGAGAGGGTTGATAATGAGGCATAGACTCCCACCAATCCTTGACATTTGTGTTTATGTCTATGATGGAAGCACCAGTAATCGATGTATAGGCATAACTCTAGGTATATAGATGATTGTTTTACCATCTACTCCATATAGGAAGAGATGGAGAAATGTTTTGAGCTATTGAGTGAACAACCAGAGTATATTAAGTTCATCCGAGAGAAACCGACAAAAAACTAGCTTCTATTTCTGAACATGCAAATTAACCTATCGGAAAACGGCTGCGGTTGCATTATGAAGTGCAACAGAAAGCTAAGTACTAGAAACATACTCGTTCATTACCTCTCCTCTCACCCCTCACACACCAAAAGGGCGCTTATAAGAAATATGTTTCGAACAGCAACCAGCGTGTGCACATGAAGAGAGTAGAAAGAGCAGTCCAGAAACTTGGCGCGACAAATGACCATTTCTAATGGCTACGAAACTTTAGCTCGGGATGGGTGTAGAGGAAAACCCAAGCCCGCAAACGACAACTCTAGCGATAATAAAGTCCCGTTTATCCTGCCCTTCATTTAAAACGAAATAAGTGCAACTATAGAACGTTGCTTAAGAAGGACTAGTCTAGGAAATTCGGTAACAGTGATTGAAATGCCACTGAATACTCTAAGACGCCAGCTAGTTCGTAACCGCCTGTATAACCGTCTATGTGCAACGTAAAATTGCATAATTTACCATAACAGTAGAGGTGGTGATTGCATGAGTTTGGGTACAGTTTATTTGATCTATTGTAAAGGGTGCGGGAACAAATACATTGGCGAGACAGGTTGACCACTCTGCATCCGCACAAAGGAACACCTAGTGAGTAAATTGAAACCAAATACTCCATGGGCGTGCATAGGAAACAGAGACGTAACGGCGAAGATTTTGAAGTAGAAGTTACTATCTTCGCACAGGAAAAAAAACACAACCGCGCAAAACTCTCGAGGCATTCTGGAATAATTCTCAAAAACCCAAAAATGGACAGCAGGTAGGGATGCTTCGAATCACGCACGATGTTGGACAGTATTTAAACCTCCTATTTTAATGTGAGGGGCACATTACGCTTCCATGTGAACTCTGTGCGGTTGGTCTCCAGGTAAGATATTCAGTGGTAGACTCATGGAAAACGGTGAGTGTGCAAAGGATCTATTCTGTTTTAGCTTATTATTTACTGCCTACTCTTTTTAAGGGCAGGGTATTCATTGTGAAATATAACTTCAATGGTGCTGAGATATTTGCAAAACTCCGGACCGCAGGTGTATGCGGTGGGAACGAACGCGCTATTGTCCTTTTCGGGTAGTAACGCGCTCACTACCACACCATGCGGGTCCTTCGTTTCGCCTGTCTCTTAGCTAGTTCTATCGATCTTTTGCCATCAGCAACTGAAAGACAGGCGAAACGAAGGACCCGCGTGGTGTGGTGGTGAACGCGCTACTTCCCGGAAAGGGCAATAGCGCGTTCGTTCCCCACCGCATACACCTGCAATCTGGAGTTTTGCAAATATCTCAGCACCATTGAGGACTTATTCTGTGTTCAGTTTAACTGAAATCTTGGTTTAACATTTTCTACGTTTGGTTATGGAGGTGTCTGGTTAGGTAAACTGCGGTCAACTTGGCCTTTCAAGGCACTGAACAAGGTGAAGTCCGCCGAGACGTCAGCTTGTTCTTGAATAAAGAATGAAATAACACCTCGTGCTTGCTAAACAAGAATATAGACAAAACATACATTTACTAGACTTTATATCGTTATACATAAAACGCGGCACTCGTGTAGACAGTGATTAGAGATGCTATGCAACACACATGGTTGTTGCCGCGATTTCTCCTACTAGAAAACACGCCGTTGCTAGAAAGCCACACCGTCCATCCGTCCAGAGTAGTCGGTTTGGTACATAATTTAACCGGGAGGATAAAGCACTGATTTGAGTACATGGACGGACCTCCTACATGAATATAGAGTAAATATACATTCGATCAACTCTACGAAGCCACAAATGCAGTCGAATGAATTACATATCCTTCAGCGTTTGATTAACACCGAAATCTCTTGGCGATTCTTACATGAAACAAAGCATCGTTCTACAAGCGCGGACAATTTGTTGCTTCCACCTTTTTCCGTTAGCATAAAAAAGCACTATAAAGCTCAGGGAGCTAAAAAAAGAATGAGAGACTAGACGGAACAAAACGCTTATTATACAATCAAGACTGATTGTCTAAAGACTCAAGTCAACTTAGCTCAAGGAACGACGAGGCTGATGATAGAGTGCTTCGCTTACCTCTAAAAGCGGCGAATCAGTGGCGAAGAGTTTCGTGGCAGTCAGACTGATGTTAATGATCGTAAGGCCCTGTAACGAAAAATGCAATTTATTTGTTTTTTCATTAATTCAGACACTAAGTACTGCATCGTAATAAGCAGCAGCGTGTGTAGCGCAGTGGTTGGAGGCGCTCTGCAACACACGCGTGGAATCGATTCGCCCGCCTACGGCCCATCAAGCCCTCCATAATTCCGGGGTCGGTAAATTGGTACCAGACTTGTCTGCGAAGATAGCAGCACTGGCTGGATACATCGGTAGGCCACCGCAAGTCATTGTTAAGCCTAGATATGCATTCAATCACCTCCAACGATACTTAATGAAGCCGAATGCATGGCGCATCCCTCAGGGATTGATCAACGCCGAGAGATTCATCTTTTTTTTATCGTAATAAGTGGTACCGTACTAACGCAACGGTTTCATAGAATTTGTTACTAAGAATAATATGCGAAACGCACGTACCCACACACTCAGCACCAAATAGGCGACGTAGATGACGACAATGGCAGTGTAGACGACAGGCGTTGTCATGACGGTCACGTAGTCCTTCATGAATTTACTAATCACTGGCTTCGTTGCTTGGTGGAACTTTGACGGTTGACGCTACAACTTTATCTTGTGAATGCAACAGAGATGCTACACATGAACTTATCACTCAACAGCTACCAGAAAAATCTCTTTGCTAGTTTTTTCAGGATGCGTACGTCAGTCCTCATAACTTGAAGGGGTTGAAAAAGTAGCGGATATCAATTAATGACTTGAGCATAAAACACTGTAGATAAGGAGAATTTGCTAACTGAAATCTAAGATGGTTCTTCTCACTTCACATGGTTTCATGCTCTGGGCATCTAGAATCCAGAATTTTCCATTGAAAGCTTTCCTCTTAGGAGAATGAATGTTGCTGTTTGACTAGTAAGTGGAGTCTTTCAGCCTTGCCTAACCCATAGCTTGATTGTCTGTGGATACACTGGTCACTCTGTTGTATTGGCTTGGCAAGGGACGTCAACGATGTGGTTTCTTTCAGAAAGTGCCAAACTTACGGTAATCGAACGGTGATGCCTAGCGATGTTAACACGATTTTCAGCGATACTGATTGCCATTCGGTTTTTTTCATCGACTTCTTCGCTGATCTCGTAACGCCCTACAATCGCCATCAAACCGGCGTAAAACGTCATCTAAAATAGCTCGAGTTTAAGTTGCTCACACTGAGATTTCATTTTTTTCCCAGCCGATTATGGGGCTATATAGGTAAACGGAGGACAAAAAATGCAGGGTAGTGTGACTTCAATGGAAAAATTTTAAAATTTCTGGTTTACAAAGTGTGATGCGAACGTGCGACTCAGTACACATTTCACCTCGAGTAGAGCAGAATCAGACTTTCAGTCGCTGTCCGTATATTTGTTAGAGGCAGACATGCTCATATGCTCTTGAGTCTGACACGTGAAGTGAGGGATATCCTGCCGTTATTAGAGATTGTAAAACATAAAAGATGGTGACACTAAGAGGATTTCACCTACTCCATAAATGGATTTCGTAAGAAGAACATAGAAAGATCCGGGTTATTACACGATCAATCACAAGGTTGCTGAGATATGAGCAAAACTCGAAACTTCAGACGGGTTTGGAAACCGCGATTCTCTTACTGCAGGCTCACGTGCTAGCCAACACACCTACCGAGACTCTTGCTTTGTTTTCTATTGTGTATTTTTTACTCTATCGGTTCTATCAGCAATCACCCATCAACGGGATTGATCTGAAAAGCATAAATCGGGATTGAACCCAGTTGAACTAAAGCTACAGTCGAAATCGCAATATTTAACTTTTATTTACTTACATGTTTACGCGAAGCATCAAACGATATTTTATTGTGGCTAACGTTTCGGCATCTTCACTTTCTTCAGAGCCGTAATGAATCGAGTGGGGTCTCAAAATAATGAAGCTTTTGTTTGGAATAAAGAGCAAACAATACCTGATAGACGAATGCCATACACATCGACAGCATGTTGCCAGTGCAGAGCAGAGTGATTTCCGGAGACGACGTGAACGATCCAACGGCGTCGGCAAACACATTGGTCAGGCACGATATCAGAATTGCAGGGCCAACTTCAGACAGCACCTGGACTGACGGTACTAGCAGATGGAAAGGACGTAGAAGTGCTTCTTTTCTAATGCTTCCTACATACCCCATCTTATTTTAAAGAATGGATTTGAATACATCTTTAAAGTATTTTCGTCCAAACCTATTGAATAAGGCTTCCAATAATAGGAAGCGTTAAAATATTTATTTGTTGAAGCACTTGAGGAAAGGATTTGAAAGCTAACGCACCTCGCTCATTCGATGCCCGACACTGTCCTTTTTCTTAGGAGTTTCTCTCACATGCTCCGTGACCCGTTGCCATTCGTGGATCATTAGGTAGGACGAGTCGACACCTAGCATATCACTCGAACGCCAATTTTTCGACGACTCATTATCAAATGCTCTTTCAAATAGACAGCTACCTATTTATGAAGAGAGATACCGAATTGGATAATATCATTATCCATGTCTTGCAAGTGTTACGGGAAAGAGTATGTTTGAGTTGGAAAATTTTAAGGTTTGACCACATCACTTGTAAGCGCTTCGTCGAATATTTTCCACTTAGCTTCGAATCTAAGCTTCACGTTATTATCATCTACAAAGCGCTTCGATACAAGCAATTCTTTCTTTAGTTCACATTGAAGTGCTACTGCGCAGCGGCAGGCAAACAGTTTTCGAAGTTCTCAGTTTATTGAACCCATCTAGATTGATTTTGATGAAACACATATCTTTTCCGGTAGAATTATTAACATTCTTTAGAGCATAGGCCTCTAAAGTTATTGTTTGAGCCAGAAGTGCATTCGATAGCTTTCAGGGTGTTTAGTGGAACAGAATACGTAGCGCATCTCTTAAGATCAGCGTCGGAAGCCCTCATGATTTATGTAATATAAATTAATTAATTAGGTAATATATAAGCAAATGAAGGACGGCCTCACCGATGGAAAGCACCAGGAATGGAATCACGCAGAGTATGGAAGCGAACCGAACTCCGCAAAGGAACATCAGAGCGAGGGCAGTCGAGCAAGCCAGCAGTGGAGTGATGCAGGCCATGATGGCGAGCGCGATCTGCGAACAAGCCGATTAAGCCACTGAACTACCAGCAGCGAAAGCTCACAAAACACCCTCACTTGCTCATATTTCAAAAAAAAATTCTATTGGTCTACGTGAGAGATGACTTTTCGAAAAGATGATGGTTTATTTCGTTCAAATAAATTTTCATTGGCCGAAATGTGTGATTTTTTAAAACGATGCTAACCTGGTTATTGATTACAGCGATAGTTCTAACGTTGACATTTTTTTAAAAATATTTTATTTGGTCCGTCCACATCTACTGCTCAGATTCCAGCACTTCTCACATTCGATTCGTTTCCTCGCACCCATTGCCCACGAAGATCTTTCAACTTTTACGTGTGGTTTCGGTTGCTGCTTGAGAATTTTCATTTCATCTGGAATGTCGTAGAATGCAGGCCGTGCAATTCTCCTTGGAGTCCTGAGATAGCTAGGCTAAAGCGTTCCCAATTGGATTGCAGAGAGCAATGTTTTCCCAGCCAAGTACGGCACCGACTTCTCGACCCTGGAGGGATGAGAGGCTTGGTTGGCCCAGAGCAGAATCGAACTAACACCACGCTCGTGTTGACGGGCATCACTACCACTATGCTATCGGCCCCTTTAACGCTGACATTATGTGCTCATATTCAAAAACAATGATTATATGAAGCGCACCTTATACCAATTCTCCTGATGCATGTACAATGCTCTGATCATGACCGAAGCGACGCTACAAGCACACATGATAGCGAATCCGACGACAAGGTACGGAAGCATGATGATTCCACCACGAACCATCTCCTCCTCTATGTACGACTGTGAATACGAGTACACCTTGACCAGATCTGATTTCCAATTCCTGAAAAAAACTCCCTATGGAGAGCGACTAGGGAGAAGTTAAGAATGGAGCATTGAAAATAGCGAACATCGGAACAAGGTGTCGAATTTGCTACAGCTGTAAATAGCCTAACGCTTGGACATTGAGGTCTGGCTATCTGATTTGGTAGCCAGCGACATGGATTAGTCACTTTGCTAGGTTTTCAGAATGGTATCTAATCATCATATCGTTTCCCCAGCGAGGTGGACAATTGTTTGTTCTACGCTTCTAAGCCTTCTTATTTTGCTGCGGAAATACCGAAGCTTAAATGGAATTTGACTGTGTAAGTATATTAGATCTTAGGTTTTGATCCTTCCCTGTATTTGTTGCTTTAGTTTGCCCAAAATTTACTGCCTCAGGGCTATTGTTTTTATTCCAATCGCATGATGTGGATAATGGCATCGTTTAGTTTCACTAGCGTCAGTGAAAGGCAAAGTATTCGGAGAAAAAACTTCTAGTCAAGAACGAGAATGTGCAAATATCAGTGGTAATATGGGTTTTTATCATACATCATAGAAACTTTCACTCGAGCACCTGCAATCACATCAATCATCGAATGACTCAAGCAGGATTCAGTCCACTACGCCCACCATTTGTTCCAGTCTCACTTCAGCGCTGTCTGACTGCTTTCTTTCAGTAACACGAACAGCATCACAGCTCTCATCGTATGAGTGCTTTCATTCCGAGTTCTTATTTGTAGCTCGCTCGCCCACTTTCTAAAACGCTAAAAATTTGCTTCTATGTCTCCTTCTTTGTTAAGGTGCTCAGATTGCTTGTCGTCGGGTGCCGTACGTGCTTCAGCACTTCTCCCACTCTTGGCTGCGCTCGTGTGTAGGTTGACCTCCGCTCCGAGATACATCTTCACTTCTACTACCGTATTCTGGCCGAGCGTTTTTTGTGATTAGAAATCTTCGGATGGGTATTTCTTAGTGTTCCCTTGTCTTCGGCAAGCCAAGTGGGTGTCCACTATGGATCATAAAGAAAGTTTACCACTTTGCAATTAGAGACTTTCCAAGCTGCACAACCGACTAGTCGAAAAATATGCAAGAAGCCCCATCTTTTTTTTTATAACCATACGAATTGCAAGGTCTCGGATAAAAGCGCGAATATCGCAGTCGGAGAAGTCCGAAAGAGATTTCATCTACATCCTGAAGACCTATTTATCGAGCGGTTGCTCATCACTGATTTGAATCGCAAACTCTCAAAGAGATTGACTAGATTTAGCAAACACCGTAATAAATTTGGCTTTCTAACAACAAAATTTGGCGGGATTATCATCCTAAAACCCGAATTTCGAAAGGACGATAGGATGATCACCGACTTTTCGAAGATGTCGACCATCTTCATCTCCCAATTCTTCACATCCATTTCTAACCACCCTGGCTTGTGTTTGGATCGAAATTGCATGGCCAACATCTTCACTGACTTCATGTTCGTCACTCGTGGCAATTCCGGTATCACGACACTTTCGTTTAGCACTAAAACAACAAAGGTTACAGAATCGGACAATCTCCGTCTTTTTACTTATAGTGTAAGGTTTTTCATATGCATTCGAAGTTCTGGAAATACGAGACAGTTAATTGTGGAGTTTTTTCTCTTTTGCTGGGCCTTCCATTGCGACGGTTTTTCGAGGTCTAAAGGACAGAAGTATAGACCTGAGATGTTCATTATTCAAAGCAAAGCCTTCATGAAGTTTTTGCAACAATGTACGCAATGAATAAAGTTTTAAAACGCATGAAAAGATTACCAGTCAATCCTTAAATCATCAGGGCGCCTCAAAAATTCATATTTACGGTGTTTTAAACATTTATCCAAAAAATGTGTGCATCATTTTCAAACTGCACCTAGATCGACGATATTTGAACTGTCCAGAAGACGGGGGACTTCATCTTCTGTTTCGTTGTAGAGTTCCACACCGAAGAAGTTCGGCTGAAAGGTAAAGAAGTTAGAGAAGCCCACTATGGCACAATGCCAGCGATCTAACAGAAAAGATCAAAACATGCCTGCAAGCTGAAAACTCGACCAAAGACCGAACTTTGTGGATAGCTTAGTTTAATGCGAGCTGTCGACCCCGTGCTTCCTTCTTCAGTGAGGATCACGTAGCCGTTCTGCAAAATTTTCAAGTGGGAAAAGTCCGCTTGCCAAAGACGAGCTACATAGGACTCATTAATCACAAACATTTGTGAAAAGACCAAGAAAAAAGATCTAACTCAAAAGTGTCCGCATTTAGACTCACGGAGGTGCTACACTCGTTATTTTGTAAAGTCTCTAATGGACAGTGGCTTCGCTCTTTACATTGTTTTGAATGCAACGAATTTTCCAGACGACTACTTATGAGTTCACTCCAAAATTTTGGCAGAAGTTAGTAGTTTTTAAAGAAAATAAACACCTATACTATTGTGTAGTGGGCGGAGAGCACGGAGGTAGTGATCTCTGTCATCACGAGCACGGTGCTAGTTCGATTCCGCTCCAGGCCAACCAAGCCTCTTATCCCTCTGAGGCCGGGAAATTGTTGCCGGACTTGTCAGGGAAAAATTACTCTCTGCAATCCAACTGGGAACGCTCAAGTCTAGTTATCTCAAGACTCCAGAGAGATTTGCTCGACTAGCATTCTATAAAATTCAAGAAGAAATGGAAATCCTCAAGCAACAACCGAAGCCACACGCGAAAGTTAGAAGTTCTTCCTGGACAATGGGTTTGAGGAAACGAATCGAATGTGAGAAGTGCCGGGATACGCACAGTAGATGTGAAGACGGATAAAATAAAAAGAGACATACTACTGGGTACAAAGCCACTCCCTCCCTCTTCTCGCCCTCATCAGTCTCAAACACAACTCATCGATTCCATCCAAAACTAGCGAAATAGTGTTATATATGGAAAGCACCCACATAGAATTGCCGAATAGGTTCGTTCAATTGGCAAAAGCTGTCGCAGAATTGGATGAAGCTCTCGCTTTTGTTGGTGATTCGGTTCAACATCGTGACGTTGTTCATCGCATAGTTGAGAATCTGAACACAGTTGTCACTGAGCGGTAATTCTACTGCCTCCCCAGCAGTCATTCTCACTGGCCTTCATCGTTTCACGCATGTACTCCGGCCGAATCATACTACCGTTGTCCTTCGCTACTACGAACAGGTATGGAGCTACCGGTAAACCTGAAAATCAGCTGCATTGGGCTAAAGACCACCTTTTAATCGTGCATAGTGGAAATGATTTCGATTCTTATTATAGTAAAGCGTAAAAAAGTTCAATACATAACTGATCCCATAGTCCTCTAAAATATTTGAGCAAGGAAAAACCATGAATTTGAAGTGACTTGAACATCAAAAATCTTGAGCATTAGGGTAAACAAATGGTCTTGTTAAAAATTGATTTTTCACCTTAGAACAGGAAACCCCTTATTCCCACAATGGGGTGGGAAACTTACAAGCTCGTATACTTTTGAAAATTTTTGGATTAATCCTATTATTAACCCGGGAGGGAAGGAATAAGCGTGATTCCAATGGCCCCAAAACAAAGAATGATGAGCAAAAATCTGTGGCAAAAAAAATTAAAGGCCTACAAGCCCTGTAGATGGGACATAAGAAGTAACAATGCTGACTTATTTTTCTTAGGTCTTACTCAGTGTTGCTTTTAAAATGGACAAAATAAATGTTCCCGGTGTTTCTTTTCGGAATCGAAGTTATTCCTTGTGCAGAAAATTTGATCGGCCGGCAACCATTAAGAGTTCCTTGTCGATTAATGCCTGACAATGCTAAGTACCACTTCGCATTTGCGCGTAACTTGTTAGATGTTGACCAGAATTATCGCTTTGCGAAGAGTTCTTCGCTTCCCGGTTCCTTCTCAGTAGAAGAACTTTTTTCTTGAATAACTAATTTAGAAGAAAGAACTCAAGAGTCCATGGAAAACATAAGATTGAAACCCTCGTAAAAAAACTGTTGGTATTAAATAAATGTAAAGGAACCACATAGTACTTCCCGTACGTTTCGGTTTGCTAATTTGGGTCTGTTCGAAATTACGCAGTTAATAACTTGTGGTGCCACAGCGCATTCTAGAGAAAAATCAACTGGAGTTCACTTCACGGATGAATAATTGACTGATGGTGTCCGATCGCGTATTGGGCAGAACACACCAAAAGGTGACCATCACCTTAGTCCAGTAAGCTTTTCACCTTCACGTCAAAGTCGTTTCACTCTATCTAAGTGATAACACCTGTCTCACCTTGGGAAGAAAAAAAGTTCTGGTACTCCTGAAATTCATCTTTCGCACGTGCGCCGTACGGTGTGTAGCCAGTGATCTCGTTATGTTGTCTGAAAAAAGCTTTTAGAAATAATAAGTGATAGCAGCAAAAGTTACAATCACAACAATAACGGAAAGTCGTGGTAACAATAGTAGCAGACTAATAATGAGGCAACTAGTATGAAACTCACGGAGTGAGGACAACTTTCACTAATGACAATGCCGACAGGGTCAGACATATCACAATGGCCAACCAGGCGTAGTTAGTGATAACAAATCCCCATCGTCGAAACACGCTGATTACCCACAACACAAACTTAGGTCCTGAAGGAAATCTATAGAAAGCGAAGATTTTTTTCCCAACTCTGGTTATCAATGTATAGAGCTTAACCCTTTGGGCGCGAGAATTTCTAGAGAAAAACATCTGCTTTTGCATACCTTTTTCTTGCTCGCCATACACTTCCAGAGAGCGCGGTCCAATAAGGATCGACTGCCTTTTTGCGCGAACCACCTCCATCAGATGTTCACCGTGCGAGAGTTCACCGTGCAAGAGTTCACCGGCTTCTGAAATAGAAACATTCTGGAGATTATCATCGTCACACTGAACAACCATAGCGTGCACGCAGGACACGAAGACGTAAAACAAGCCGGAATATGAGCGCGTACTTGAAAACCGTATGGGGTTTTTCGACGACTACCCATATTCATTAGATCACTGAATACTTGGAAGCTTAGTAAGCTAAAAGTAGAAGGAAAAAGCAAATTCAGCAGCCGTCAGTACCAACGAAATACTGATTCAAACTACAGTGTCTTGTCAAATGGTCTTCCAGCTTCAGCAATCTACCATCTTACCGTAGTGAAATAGACTGATTTTCATGGTATGAGCAAAAATGTACAGGGTTTAGTGCTCCCGTTAATAAAACCCCCTATGATATGATGTACCCATTGTGATCGAGGACGGATTGCCCAGATTTTAGCTGCCGTCGTCGGTGTTTACGAGAAAAACAGAATCCGTGGCGAAAGCCGACTGATGCACATCGTCGAGGACTTTTCGTTTCCAAATTTTTCTGAGCGGAGAGGTTACAAACGCAAAAGAGTGAGAGTACGAAAAGAGGAAAGACGAAAAATTTGTCGAGTTAGCGTTGTTATCTTCCCAGGCAAGTCTGGTACCAGTTTGTCGACTCCGGAGGGATGGAAGGCTTGGTGGGCCAGGGATGCGGTAATTGATCCCGTGTGTATTGTAAGGCGCCTCCAACCACTACGCCACACGCGCCCTTCGATAAAATCATGAGTATGTTTATGTAATGAGGATTAGGTAGGCAACATTGATTTTTCCACATTATTTTCGATATAGGACTGTCACCCAAGGTTCACGGATTTTCCAAAAATTTAAAAAAGATGCACGAACGTAAAGAGTATAGTTTTCACAAGCTGTTGCTAGCAGCTCACAAACATTGATTCGAATTGTGTTTTCAAAGCAGTCACTCAATTCTCAGACAAAACACTTGTAAAGAAATGGTCTTTAGACGCCTGAGGTTAACTTTTCGATGAACTGCGATAATTTCTCGATCCTAAGAGAAGAGAAGACAATGTGATAGATTTAAAGAAGATCGTTTTACCATATTGCTTTAGCAATAGGCTTTAATTTAAGTATGTTTAAAAGTAGGACTTTCATGGAAGCATAAACGACACCTTAGAAAATCACCTTGTTCTGGTGGACGAAAGTCCGATTGTTCAATTGCTTTCGTGCTCGAAATATAAGTCTTAACGAAAAAAGGTGAGGGAAGTGAATTTCATAGGAACCAAAAAGCCCAGGATTCAATCTGAATAGAATAATACAACTTGTTTCTTGTAGGAAAAGTTCTGTAGATTCTAGAAGCTTTCATTTGAAGTAAAAATTTAATGTGGGCTGAGATATGTTAGCTTAAAGTTGGAAGCGCTCACTGTTTTCGTATCGACTGCATGTACTCAATCCGACATACTATTCACTATTCTTTGAAGGATTCAGAAGATTCCTTTCGTTGAGTTTGCATGGGGATCTGGAACGGGTCGGATCTATGTCTCGTTGACGGTATTTCTTTCAGTAGCGATTCGTGACTTATCCACAGTCAACACTCGACATCGTTCACTCATTGCTTGGGGTGCGTTGTCAATAAACATGACGGAAATGATGTAGTTGACGGCCAAAAAGCTTCATTTCGATACTTTGTGACTCCCTCTTTGGCATAGGAATCATAGCCGCTGAATAGTTGTGGCGAGGTATTGTCAGTTCCTAAAGCCGTCCTTTTTACTTCGATCCCTTACAATGAGCTCACTGGTGAAGAATACAAAATTCCTGTTATAAAGTTGATATATAGCTTAACGATGAAGGATCTCTGTGTACAAAACACAGGTGCCATAGTTACTTAGAACTTTCATGACCTCTCGCCTCATTCATTACTTTTCTTCTTAGCTTAACTGAATAAGTATAATAAAGGGGTCGACGCTACTAAGGAACCAGTACTGGGGAGTTACTAGCCTAGGATGAGATCATTTGCGAGGTAGCTCGCTATTTATTTAATATCACACATTTTAAGGCAGCACACAAAAACACACTACCAATCAAAGTAGGAGCGATTAGGGTCAACACTTATGTCATCATTCCACGAGTTAGACATTCCATCTATGATACAAACAATACTAGAACTTTCAAAGTCGTCCAACATCCTTTTCACAATCTTAAGGTAAAAGGATAAGAAAAGGTAAAGGTTTCGGCGTTGATCAATCCCTGAGGGATGCGCCATGCAATCGACTTCATTAAGCATCGTTTGGAGATGACTGAATGCAGATCTGGCCTTTACAATGACTCTCAGTGGCCTACCGATGTATCGAGCCAGTGCTGCTATCATTCTAGACAAGTCTTGTACCAATTTGCCGAACCCGGAGTGATGGAAAGCCTGGTGGGCCAGGGGTGTGGTAATCGATCCCATATGTATTGCAGGACGCCTCTGACCACAGTGCTACACGCGCCTCTCAAGCTCAAGGTAGGATTATGTATTCTAGAGAAGGTTGTCGCAAATATTTGTTGAAGTGGAAATCTGCTATTGCTCTGTCTGGTGCGTTACGTGGAGTTAACTTTCGAACTCAAAACTACGGCTTTTCTACTATCAGTTTTCAAGGACGCACGTTCTCATGCGGCCAAATGGGATAATTTATGTTGATCAGTGGCACTCAAAGGTGTTGCAGTCAGTAGTCTATTTCTTTGTTTTTAATTCACTATTTCGTAAATGTAATGAGTTCGCTACAGTACTCCTCGTGCTAGCTATTCTAATGGCAACTACTGCAGAAAAGACTGCCGACATGGAATGAAATCATTATCAGTCGACAATCAGTCAACAAGAGTCCTATATAAAAGAGCTTCGCCAGGCGAGGTTGCCTCATTCGAGTGGTGCTGCACTGAAGAAGATTCGACTCGAGAGGACAACAAAGACACCTTATCGAGAGTACGACCCACCGACTGGGATAATCAGCTGTGAGGAAGACGAAGACGTCGAAATGTTAGACGAATAAAAATTGTGTAACGACCTCGTGTAGGTTGAACAATCTAAAGAAATTTGTTGATTATTCTCGCTGGGTTTAAGTGAGAGTAAATTTAGCACAGTGTAATAAATTCGTCCAATAGAAGTGCTGACAACATTTGATTCCACTAACAAGAAGGAAACCGCAGATCGATTGCACTAAAGAGCAATCTGATTCAAATTGCCGATCAATAAGTACTTTGATAACTAGAGGCTAGAAAAATAATTTTCTAAAGAGAAAGAAAGAAGGTGCGACAACTTTGCGATCAGTATAGTAGCCAATACAAATGATTTGTTGAGAACTGGTAAACTACTGTGCTCTTTTATTTTTTCACCAAATTTGGCGAAGTTGTTCTCACGAGGGTTCTCAGTTGCAGGGTTATCGATTAGGTTTGGGTACTTTCAAACGTAGTTTGCTGGACCTTTCCGAAGTTCATGCGGGTGTCGTTTGTTGGCGGCGATTCTGAGTTGAACTAGTCGATCCTCCCTTTTTTGTACCTTTCAGTGACTCGCAGGCTTCCTGTCGAAACTACTTCTAGATACAATCCGCACACGCCCACGCTCAAGATAGCGCAAGCACTTATACACGAGTGTACTTATCAAACTAAAAAATTTTTATTGCCTGTCCTAAAATTTGGACAACCCCGGAACTCTTACATCCTTTTTAAGGTTTTGCACCTAAAGCCCACAACGATGCTTTCTTGTGGGTTCCTAGGTGGCTTCAATATGTGCCACTTTGTTCTTCTCACATTTATGTGCTGCTCGACCTTGGTTTTCTGTAAAATCGCTTGATAGTTATGCTAGGCCGCCATTAGGTGGCGAGCACACTCCGTTGCTGATCGTTGTGGATCAAAATGACATTTACTGCTTTGCAACCAGAATTCTTTTATGACGGCAGCCATTCATGGAGGTTTTCGATGGATTGACCAAGCACTGCGTGGACTTAACCACTTCTACAGAGGGGTGGTATAAGTCAATTCACTGCAGCGGAGACAAAAAACCGTTCTCCTGACACTATTAGCGTTTCAAAAAAAAAAAGAATACTTGGTAGCTCATTGATCATAAAGTATTCGCGAAGACCATGAGCCATTGTTTCTTCCTAATATTTTGAGCTATAGCAACGTACAAGGATCGAAAATCGTTCACTGAGGAGCAACCTGATGTTTGAGCCCGAAAACAAACGTGATGCCTGACCCTCATGCAGTGAATGGCCTTGTCACTGTCCTTGACCTGGTTAGTTTCGATGTTAAAGCGAAGTAACTGCTTAGAAAACCTCCAAAAATTTTCCTACTTTCAGGATTGTAAAAAATGTACTTTATATACAACAACTCATGTCACTTTCTTTGTCGTTGAGCACCGTCAAATTTCTCAGCTGAAGCAGAGAAGATATGATGAGACGAAAAAGCCCTGTATAAAGTAGTCTACTGTTTTATCAAACACACAAATTACACAGAATTGGGACCGAGTTTCTCACCATCTGAACCTATTTCTAAGGTAACCTTGCGTAGGGTCGCATGTAGTTTACATGAACTTCAAGACAGACTCCGCAAAAAAGCTAGAGATGAAGCGCAAAATAGGCGCGAACAACAAAAAGCAGGGGCAGTACCAGTACCACCATTTCTTCAACCGTTCTCTAGACAACAAGAACCCAATAATGAAGTTTCTGTTAAATTTCGGATGTTTACGAATGAAACTTTCAAAGTCCTTAATCGCTATCGCGCTAAGAGATACTGCTCCAACCTTACTGAAATACAAAAACGTGGTACGCGAGAGGTACGAGAGCTGATAAGATCGAAAAACATAAGACTACCGGTTAGTGATAAAGGTGGAGAGTTCGTTGTAATTCCCGATCACTTAGATGTTGACATAACGAAAGAGCAACTTGAAGATGCTTCACTTTATCGTCCATCATCTGAGAGGGAGTTCAAAAGTAGATGCCGAAAATTGAACCACGAATGTG